CGCTATACGTACGCGTGCTGGACCACGTGCTACGCCACAGCTTCGGCCACCCGTTGAGCGTGCAGCTGCTAGCGCTGAGTTCTCTCGTTCTTCTGCTGAGCGTGCTGCTGTTCTCACTGGATCCATGGCTTGATGACGACTCGCACCAGTATTTGAGGCGCTTCGTACCCTCAATCAACGTCGAGTTCGACTCATTCGCGGTGGACCACCTTGTGGTGTTTGGAGCCATCTCCCCGCCGTTGACATGGCTACTCTTGGTCCACGTCGCGTACTCGCAGATCGACTCGCGGGTTGAAGCAGCCTTGCTACTATTACGCGTCGCTAGTTGCCTCACCGTCACCTTTGCGCTCACCGTGCTATTGACCGAGTTCTTGTCCAGGAGAGCCACGTTGGCGTTGGTAGCTTTAGCCTACGCATCACTCGGTCTGCTCTACTCGTGGAGTGTACCCGTTTGGAAATGGTATCAAGAAGAGATGCGCACGAGAGGCTTAGTAGGATTCCTTCCGAAATCTTTGCAAGAGCTACTGCTACAGACTTCACTATTGGAGTGGCTAACTGACACGAGCTTTTCGGATAAAGTGGCGCCGTTTTTGCCATTTTTACTGCCTTTAACAAGAGCTGAGCAGATGAAATTGCTGGAACAAATGCCGCCCGAGTCTCAAGTGATGATGACCAAACCAGGATTGTTACCATTATTGCCAGATTCTGTACAAAATGTGTTGCTGCCGGCAGAGGATAGCAGCGACGAGGACGTGGAGAAACTGGAGCCTCAGGCAAGTGAAGGAACGTTGGTAGTACATGAGACCGAAGAGATCAGGGACATCAGGATGCAGCAAAGGCAGTTGTTGACGCTCAAACCGTCAACTACGACGATGTCGGGCTTCGACTTCCATCGACCGGAAGTGGTGGGCACAGTACGGACTTCGCCGTCACGCGAGCAGGTTCTCAATGAAATTATGGCGTCCAGGATGTGGAATGGATGCCAGGAGTTGGTGAAGATGCCGAGCTCCAAGACACTGAACCGCACGGCTGCCATGTCGAGTGCATTGCTGGTGATACAGCTGTATGCGTCGAAAGGAAGTCGGAGGGTTTTCCTGACTTTTGTGCAGTTTGTGGCTACGTCGGCGTTGAGTTCCGTGGCGTGTTGTGCAATTTTCCTGCGCTTTGTGCAGCTACTGGATCTAAAATGGACCTCGGGGCGTACGATGCCACTTCTGCGCTATGCGAGGCAGTATCTGTTGCGTAATGGGAACGTTGGGACGCCGCAGATTTCTGACCAACCTGCTAATGGGTCTGTGACGCTGCGTACAGCCGCTTCGTCGGTGTCTGTTGTGATGGCTGCATTGTATGTACTCCGAAAATTGCGCCGGTAAATTGTGAATAAACGGAGAAGAGTAAAACTTGATGCTAATAAAGCTGAAGGAACAAGGGCGAGTGCAAAGTTATAAATGTTACTCAGGTTATATTAGCTTTTGTAAGTTTGCTGTTTGGCAAGTTGGGTCGCCGTATCTCCGTCGAGAAAAAGAAACGGAAAGTTCAGGTTGGCACTTACTACGAAGAGAACGAAAGTAAACAGATACTTCTACCTTTGCTACTAGCAAAAATATAAAACATATTTTTCAAACCGAGTGTTGACATCACTCAATACAGATGTGAATGCCAGCTTTGCATGAAAACGTTGCTAAAACTTCTCAAGGTTGAAAACGGTAGATAAATGTATATCGCGCAAGGGACCCTTAATGAAGCAACCGCGAATACATGTAATGGTGCGTTTGTATCGCTAATTATGCAACCAATGCATTCATTGAGTGTCTGGACGCAAGATGATGTCGAGATAGCCGTAAAAAAAATTCATACTCTACAGTCAAACCACTAGTCACCACAAGAGATCATGCTGCCGCTGCCGCTGCCGCTGCTTTCGCCGCCTTCACCTCCTTATCTCTCTGGGCCCACCTATAGAAAGCGTTGTACTGGACCGACAGGTCGTAGTTCTTCGTGTTCACTATGGCCCCTTCTCCGATTTTCAGCATCGCCTTGACATCATCCGGCGTCTTATTTTGCTTAAACCAGAGCTCAAACTTGGCCATCGTGTAGCGCTCACGGATGGTATGCTCTCCAACTTTGTAGTTTTTGATCTTTTCCGCAAAGTTCCTGAGCTTGGCTATGAGTTTTTCGACGCTTGGGGTTGCCTTTAGCTTCTCTGCAAGAGGTTTGAGAATAGGCATGAGTTTATCCGCGATCGGCTTCAGCTTTCCAGGGAACGCGTCCGCTACGGGTTTGAGCCTCACTGCGACGGCCATCGCCTTGTCCGTCAGCTTCTCTGTCGTTGGAGCAAGTTTAGTCGTGAGAGACTTGAGTTTGTCAGCGCTTGGCTTGAACTTTTCCGCGAGCTTGCTCACTCCTGATGGGAGTGCCCTCTCCTCTTCATTTTCCGAGTCAATTGTAGTCTCGATTCGCAAAAAACGCTGAACGTTGGCTTCGCTGACGGCGGTATGCAGCACACGAGCTATAACAGGGATATTGTGAATGTTCTGAACAGCGTGAGTCGCTTGGTTCGATTCCTTTGCTGCCAAAACAGTATCTCCGCCAGCAAAAAGAGTTACCAAAGTCGCCACCACGACGTAAGGCAATCGCATGGCGAGGCTCCTTTCACTGAAAAGCTTTGCGCTGGCTGCTGCTGGCTAATGGTCTGATCGGGAAATGAACCTCCAAAGAGAGGTTGTGTAGTACACAGTGTACATGTACAAAAGTAAAGCAGGCAGCAAAAGAATTGTGGTGTAAAGTCGGATGGTCACATCGACGCCCGCGCTCCTGGAAGATGGGGTCTCTACGGTTCACATTGTGAACCGTAGAGACCATCATTGCAAAAAAGACTCTGTGAACTTCGCAGAGTCTTTTTTGCAATCTTTTTCAACAAGGGGCTTATCACGCCGTATGTGTATTTAACTATAAGCGATATTTTGTCATCGCCGCAGTGTTTGGAGAGTTAAAAGGAAGTATACCCTAAGGGGTTTCCATCAGCCGGACTACAAAACATTGACAATAGACGTACATATAAATTACATTATTTGCACTAACAGTACTGAAGAAGCTCTCAAGATGTTTACCGCCATGAGAGGTCATAACGGAGTTAATTGGTGCAACGAGCATGTCCAGACCGTGTTCAGAGCGCGCGCGGTGCGAGACTCCCACTCATCGTGTGTATTGCTATCGGTATTAAGCGGAGGCCCCGTACATGTTGCGGTCTTGTTCAGGGTTTGGATTGATGGACAGGGTGTGTTTAACCAATAAACTTCACTTCATCTTCTGAAAATTTGTGCTTCATTGTTGTGTCTGACCGATCATTCATCTGATCACATCCCATTGTTGATCCTGATGTTGTGCAGAAACGGTGGGTGCTCCACTCTGGGCCAGAGTTTGTCCATGGAGCTCGCTTTGTGATCATGAGAGCACGGCCTTATTTTACCTGGGCTATAGTCGCGAACTACATGTGAGCTGAGAGCCCATGCTCTCACGTTACAAGTTACAGTGCTGCAACTACGAAGTATACAGTAGACGCACTCAAGCATCGGCTGTTAGGCGAGCTGTATGTATGTAGCGAATACCACTTAGCAAGTCCTTCCGTACAGATGATACCAGAAGAGTTTTTCGAAGACGGTCGAACTCTAAACATATTTTCAAATTACAAAGTGCTCGAATTTAACTCGTTTTTATTGGCTAAAATTGCTTTTCAGTGATTTGTGCCAAAAAAAAAAAGAACCGGAGAACCGTTTCCCGATACATGTAAGTACACATTTATACAACGACAGACAACTGTACCTGACGACTTTGGAGGTGATATAATGTGCATGCAGATTCGACGGCCAAACGAACGAGCACTTTCACGAAACCAAGGAAACTTGCTGCTGAGAGTGAATCGAGGCGAGTTCAAATACTTATGGCATTCGAGACCGTGTGGACACCACTTGGATTGAAACCTTGGGCCAAGCATTACCAGATCTTTCTATAAGTATCTGTCGGTGATCCAAGAGTTTCGGCGTGTCAGCGCAATAGCAAGACATACGAACAACTCCTTGTGAAAGTGGCCATAGTAACTGATCTCGAATTGGCAAAATTAACAGAGAGTAATCTGACTGATTCACACAATACATGTGGATCAATCATTTTACTTTTTCGGTACGTATTGCCGACATCCTTCAACTTCAAAAAATCAAAGGCACTGGCATAGATATCGAACTCAAGTTCGCTTTGTCGTTATGACACCCCAACTGACCTGAATAACGAATTTCGTATTGCCACTGTACGAAGAAAAAATACACAATAGCAAATCATGTACTTGAGTACATGTACTTCAAACGTGTAGTAAAAGAAGAGGTTAATACATGTACCATCTACCTCAGAAACCAGCCTGCACTTAAATGGCTTCGAGCCACTTTGCCAAATCGTCACGGTTGCGTTGGTAGCAAGCGCTCTTGACTCGGATACGCTCTAGGGCAGCGTCCAACAGCCGCGTGTAGGATGAATGCTTACGCGTATCCAGGAACGTTTCCACCTCCTGTGCGTGAGGTTCACTCTGGAAACGCGAGACCACCGACATGACGATGCGACCCACGATCAACGGGCGATACTGCTCATTGAGCTCCGTCCAGTGTTCCTGTACATATTTCCACGCAAACTCTGCACCCGGTGCGTCCGCCGCAACACTGCTGAAAACATACTGGATATCCTGTGAGCGTACGTTTTTCAGTCCCCACGTAATCACCTCGCGCTTGAGCTCCAGTGACTTGAGCAGACCCAACGCAGTAAGGCAGTCCAGCTTCTCCTCGATGAAGTTACTAGACTCGTACCGTTCACGCAGCAGCTTCAAGTGACAGGCGTCACCTCGTCTAGCTTGAGCGTTAAAAACAACGCCACGTAGATCAGCCGACAACGCCGAGCTGTCTTCAAAATACGCTTGGAACAGACGCTGCGCTTCAGCGATCACGTCGGGATCGTCACCTAGAGCGAGCATACTGATCACATCGCGACGGAACGGAGCCACCGTCGGGCTTTCGCCCTCCGTCGCCTCCCACGTCAGTCTCTTCATGATCGAAGCGAAGAGCTGACGGATGTAGGCCTGTAGTTTCGGGTAGAACGCGTCAGCGCTGTACAGTGTACTGTAGAAGCGCAAGTTGGACGAGATCTCCTTCCAGCACAGATGCTCCGGTTCTTCAGCGTACGCGAAGCTGAAGTCCAATGCGCGAGTCACTGGCAGCTCACCGCTTCGAGCAAACGCGAAGATGCTGTTCAACAAGCTCATACGGTCCACAGCGCCCAACGTTTTCTCACGCACTGGTTGTTGCAGACGCTTCCAGCCTTCCGGAGAGTAATTCACAAGGAAGAATCCAGCCTGGTTCGCGTTGAGTTTAATCCACGACGAGGGACCAGTAGGCGCACGCAACTTATCTTCCAAAGCGTCGGTGGCTTCCTTGGACGCGTTACGTTCCCAGATCCCCACACGCTGGATCTCCTTGGGTTTATCTGATGCTACAAAAGTCAGAGGCACATCCCACGCCACATCGTCCTGGGTCTTTGCCTTAAGAGTTTGGTCCGCCAAGAAACGCTCCTGAATTAAAGAGCCGTCATCGGACAAAGTCACCATCGGGTATCCTGTCTGACTGGTCCATCCACTTGCTAGCGACGTAATGTGCTGTCCCGAAGCCTGTTCCAGCGATTCCCAAAGGTCCTGCGTCTGTGCGTTGCGGTAGCTGAATTTAACCAGATATTCGTGAATGCCGCGGTAAAATACGTCGCGACCGAGATATTCCGACAGCATCCGGATGACGCTGGCACCTTTAGCGTACGAGATGACGTCAAAGATCTGGTCCACCTCATCCGGGTGGTTCACCTTCACTTCAATTGGATGTGATGTGAGCATGCAGTCCTTCCCCATAGCCACACTCATAGTGATGTCCTGAACAAACACTTCCCACACATTCCAGTCGGGGAAAATACTGTGCACAGCCTCGAACTCCATGAAGCGGGCGAACCCCTCATTAAGCCACAAACCCGTCCACCACTCCATCGTCACCAGGTTACCGAACCATTGGTGGGCGATCTCATGACACACCGTTCTCGCTGTAGCCATCTTCTGTCCAAAGCTGCTGAGCTGTTCATCAATTAGCAGCCTCGTCTCACGATACGTAACCACGCCCCAATTCTCCATTGCTCCAGCTGCAAAGTCCGGGATGGCCAGCATATCCATCTTCTTTAGGGGGTATGGGATCCCGAACCTCTCGGTGTAAAAGGACAAGGCTTTAACCCCCACCTCAAGAGCAAATTTGCCACGATCACTACGTCCCACTGGCGTGTATACTGACACAAGCACACCTTCTTTCGTGACGGCGGACACCGAGTCGAACTCGCCTACGATCATCCCTACTAAGTACGTGGACATTATAGGCGTCTCGGCGAACTTCCAGACCTTCTCGAGCGTCGAATTCTTTGGACGAGACAGAGTTCGGATGTGTGCGTTACTAGCACGAGGTCTCACGAGCGTCTGGACCACGTGAGTATTGGAAATGGCAGTCAATTCGACGTCGCAGGAGAGCGAGATCTCAAATTTCGCCTTAATGGCGGGTTCGTCCCAGCAGACGAAGGCGCGGCGAGCGTCGCAAGCCTCAAATTGGGTCACAGCCATAAGGTGCGTCTCACCTGCCAGTTCGTGGTCGTACGCGCTGCGGTAGAAGCCGTGGAGCTTGTCGTTGAGCTCTCCGTGACACGTGAGCGTCAACTCCGCCTCGACACCTGCCGGGAGCTCGTCGTCTAGTACAAATTCGACTGTCTGATCGGCTGCCAAGTAGCGGATCTCGTTGCATTTGATGGGGGCTGAACGATCCGCGATGGAGACCGAGACGTCGAACACGTGAAGCTCCAGTGCGTGGCAAGTGATGATTCGCGTCGCTTGTGAGACGGAGAGAAGCACACGTTCGCTCACTTCGAAGCGGCAGTGATCTAAGTCCACCACATAGTCCAGGAAGTACTTGGAGGGGGCCACACAAGTCGGCAGACGTGCGAACGGCGCTGTCATGATTGAGCAGGGGGTCTGGAAGTGAGGTCGAAGATCGCGATTGGCTATCCTCGTAATTTCTACGAAATAGATTACGCTATAAATTGTCTCAATCGACATCCCGTAATAAGAATTAATTTCCAAAGGTTATGCAAAAATAGGACTATTGTCTTTTACAATGAAGAAGATAGAGGTGACTAATTTCGGGTGTACTTTGATCGATACTACGGATGACAACAAGTGCGCTATACGTTGCAAGCTCATTATCGCGCGCGCGACATTATAGCTCGATATCTCAATTTGCTGTGCCATTCAGATCGAAACTCGCTTGCACAGGTCGATTCTGTGGTGGAATTTTCCTTTCCCAGTTGCTGAGCGTTTACGACAGGAGTGGGGCAAGATGGTGGCCAGTTCGCGGGTGGTGAACTCTTCAACCTAGCCATTATCCTCCATGTGGGCGGCAATCAAGTGTAGGAAGCCACAAAACCGAGACATCATGTCGGCTTTGAGTAACAGCGGCGGCGGATGGCTCGAACGAAATTCCGTCCTCTACCAGCAGTGCCCAATGATGCGCACTATGAGCACACAACTACTGGTCGAGATGCAAGAAAAAAAAATAGAGCGTTTCACCGTTGGATACAGGCGACCTTTCGCGGCTCTAATTTCTGTTCTCGCTCTAAAAATAGATTTTCCACAAATGCACGCTCTATGCAATTACACTTGCCATCTGTAAGTTAGGGGCGGAATAGGGTATGGGTCTAAAAAAAAGCTGCTGACCAGTTTTTTAGACCACGATTCAGCGAGACGAACTCGACCTGCACCTGCCCAACGCTACTCCGTCTGACCACTTTGCTATCCGCAGCAGCGCAGTCAGAATGACGACGCCCGCCACGACATCGCAGCGCCCGGCGCACGCATTCTGCCTCACCAAGCGCCGGTCCTACACGTCGCCGCATTTAGTGCGCACGCGCTCCAAGAACAACACACTATGCGGCGTTCCGGGCGAGCGCGACGCTCCGATTGCCTCAGCGCCAAAGACGGCACCGTCTGCAGCTACTGCTTCACGCCTTACACGCAAGACGCAGAGCTTCAGTGAAGGCCTGGAGCCACCCACAGGCGAACGCATAGCCGACGTTGCCGTCTTCCTGGGCGGCTCGTGCAACCCCACAACCTGGAGGCACGACGTCGCTATGCCCATGCTGGACGCTGCACATGTACACTATTTCAACCCACAGGTGGACGAATGGTTCGAAGAACTCATCCAGATCGAAGCTAAAGCCAAGGAAACGGCACAAATCGTGCTCATGGTCGTGGACGGCCTCACCAGGTCCATCGTCTGCATCAACGAAGCAGTCGAGTACATTTGCAGAGGCAGGAAGGTCATGCTCGTAGTAGACGACATTGAGGAGGGCACGGAAGTTGCAGGGAAAGTATTATCCAAGACGGAGTTGGCCGATCTCAATGGTGCACGTCAGTGTCTTCGTGACCTGGCTCACAGGAGAGGCGTCGGTTTGTTCCCAGACGTAGCAGCAGCGATAGAGGGATGCATCGCCTACCTCACTCAGACTAACGCGCCCAGGTCTAAACCGGAGGTGCCACGTCTTCGTAAGCGTTCATCCATTGTGCTAAATAGCTGGTCTGGCAAACATCGCCCCCATCGGGTGACCTCGCGCTCGCACTCTTCACGATTGCTAAAGTCCAACAGCAGCGGCAGCAACAAGAGCATCACAGATGACAGCGAACAGAGCAGCGATTCGCCTGGAGTATCGTCGCCATCACAGTCGATCGTGAACCAACTAGGCTGCCAGTTATTTAGTGACTACACTGGCGGCTCTGTTTATCTTGGAGGCAACTTGACAGCGACGTCTTGGAGACAGAAAGTCGCAATCCCGTTGCTACGCCAAGCCGGCATCCCCGTATACGTCCCGTTCGCGGACTATTTGCAGTTTGGACTGTCTTCAACAGCGGAGCAACACGTGCAGACACTATCTGAGCACTTCCGAGAGATCGAAACCCAGAAGGCAACCGCAGAGCTTGTTCTGTTTGTGATTCCGAGGAATTTACGCTCCATCGCCGCCATGACCGAGGCAGTAGAACTTGTGTCCAGTCACCAAGCCTTGCTGCTCGTCATTGAGCCCGTGGAGGAAGGCTGCATGGTGGAAGAAGGAGTGGCCATCACTGGCCGTGAGTTCAAGGACCTCGCTCGAGCTCGAGCGTATCTGCGCGAGATGGCAGAACGCAATGACGTTGCTGTGTTCGAGTCGGTCACACAAGCTGTCGAGAATATTGTTGAGAGGTTAGAGTAGAACTGCAACATGTAAATATTATTTTGGATGCGGATGCTGTATTGCACACCCTAATTTACGATACCCCAACTCATGATCTGCTTTGATTGCACCAAATGCATGTACCCATCGACCGGGTAGGATTTGCAACCTCATTCGCTAATCTACCAAGTCCCTGTGCAAATATGAGCGGGAACGCAGCAGCGCCGCAGAATCCCGCCGTCCTCAAAGATCGCAAGGGTCTGGACCCATGGCGAGGCACCGTACGAAGCGCGCAGTGCGAAGTGAAATATTTCTATATCCGCTCATCTTGATCTCATGTATTTCTAATCGTAGAAACCCGCGGGCTTCATCCTGCACCCGGAGCTCTTTATGAAGGAATGCGTCGGTCTGGACGTGTCCATCCGCCTCAGGAACGGTGCCAAGTGGAAGGGCGTACTGCAAGAAGTTCGCGATAACGGAGATGTCGTCATCAAACCGGCGCAGGAGCTGCTGTACGACGAGCTGGACGGACCGGAGCTGGCCGAGAAGCTGCTGGTTAAGAGCGATATCTTATGGCTGCGTCGCCATCTCAAGGACACGGACAATGTGTCGAGCCAAGGATCCATGTTGGCCTTAAACCAGCCACAAGAGGAGCCATTTGAGGCCCCAAGTCCAACCAAGAACAACCAACAGCCTTAATAAAGCGAGGAATGCTAAGTTGGTTAATACATATGAAACGCAGATACATGCAGGCAGATGCAGACAGATCCATCGCTCACTAGTCCGAAGACAGGTACACGTGCTCCATATCGTCCTCTTCGTAGCTGGAAAGAAGCTGGTAGCGCACGTCCTGGCGGATCTCGCGGATGTGCACGCGCTCGTAGACCAGTACGGACACCACGACGGATACAAACAGAATGAGGCACAGTAAGATCTGGTGCACCCACATGGAGAAAAAGCCGAGCATTCCGTACTCGCAGTATGTGGTAGCCGCGTATTCGAACGCTCTCGATACGTTCTTGCAGGTTTGCGAGGCTGCAAACTCGGCCATCAGGGTATCTACGCTGTCAAGCTGCTTGCCGATGGGATCGAGGAATTCTCTCTTCATACGCTGACCAGTTTCTCCCTCGTGAGCTGCATGGCGCTCCATTTCTTGCTGCAGTTTAGCCACTTCAGATGTGGTCTGCTGGACACTAGCCATAACGTCAGCGAACGGCAGCGAAGCGTTGGCTGGACACTCGACGTAGTAGTTCGCCACAGACGTTGTGCCCACCAGTTCGAGTGTATTATTCATCGGAGCGGCACAGAAATCCGCAGTCATGATCGTGGACGACAGGTAGGCGCCGATCAGCGTGTGTGAAATGGGTACAACGCTCAAGATCACGAGAATCGACACACGTAGCGGCGAGACCATGGCCCAGCCAACAGAAGCGATGGACAAGAAACTGGCCAGCGCTACAGCGAGAATGGCTCCGTTGGTCGACGATTTGAGCATGAAATAGCTGAATTCCCACTCCTTGGCAATATCGGAGTAGTTTTTGGGCAGCAACGCGTCTGTCTGGTTCAGTAGCTCCTTCGACGCGTGCACGAGTCTCAACGCCTCCACGGACATCTTGAAGGCTTCAGCTGGCAGTTCACTGTCGTTGAATGATGTGATCAAGTTGTCAGCGTTGACACGCAAGGCGTTGCTGGTCTGCAGACTTTGCGTCGTGAGTTCTCTGGTCTCCTGGAACAGGTCACTTGTGTTGGTCATGGTATCCAGCACGACGCCGGCGCTGTAGTCCACCTGTGCTTCTCCCAGTAGTCCTCCAAGCGCACTAATCGCCAGGAATGTCAGTAATCCGACGGCCAGTAGCTCCACGGACGTAGAATCCATCGATGTACGTCGAACAAACGCTAATGACACAATGAACAATAAACAGGTCAGAATTCGGTCATATCTGGGTCAAATTCAGTCGCAAAAGGCGTGTTCTGCTACAAATGAAGAGATGCAGTGATAAATTACCGCTGCGGATGTGTAGGATGGTGCGGCGCACGACGATCACGCAGAGCACGAGGAAAACGACGGCTCCGATGCACATGGAGCCAAAGAGAACGTTGTGCAGGAAGTCCAGATAGGCTGCATCCCCCAGATCGAAGCGGTTGGAGGCGGCGCCGAAGCGGTAGAAGGAGTGGAAGAAGGCGGCCACCTCCCTGGCCACCTGGCGGTGGTAGTCCACGGGCAGGAGGCGCAGGTCGCCGAAGGTCGAGGAGCTCATGTCGGTTGAGGCTTTTTTAGATAATGGCTTCTTCACTTGAATTGAGTATGGAGAGGGAAAAAAACAATTTGTGAGAAATAATGCAGCGGTTTATGCGATTTTGAGAGGTAAAGGGTGGAAGATCGAGGTTGAAGTGCAAGATGGCTACATGCACTGCCCTTTTGTAAAAATCTACGCTGCTAGATCTGCTGGAGGGTCCACTTCAACTGTAGATGGATTGGTGTTGAATTGTCGAGCTGTGGGAGATGAAGGCGAAGCTGGCGGTGCAACTTGCTCTGTTGCTTCTGTAGTGGCAGACTCGTTGTGCTCCGCTCGCTTCTGCCACACTGCCTGGACCTGCAACGATTTAGAAATTTGGTACGATTAGATAGCACGCTAAATGTTATCTAGAATAATGGTTCACGCACCGTCTTGCCGTCGGTGAACTCGAGTAGACACGGCAGATGTGCGAGATGTGCCTCCAACAGCTTCGGCACCGACGCCTCAAGTGGCTACACGTGAAAACAGACACAGTTAGTATTCTAGAAGTTGCTCTGCTGTGTCTGGCAAGTTCAAAATGTACCATATCGCCGTATTTCTGGATAGCGATCATGCCCAACGCGTCTAGGAATCGCGCGTAGTTGATGCGCCGCTCTCCCTTCTTCTTGGCTTTTACAAAGATGAGATCCACGTCTGTTTTGCCGAAGGACGAGTTGAGCAGATCAGGACAGTCCCGACACAGTTTGACGAAGTTTGAGTTATCTGCAGTGTCAGATATTTAGATCCTTTTCCAAGAAAAATGGAGTTTGCCACGACGTACCGAGAGTTCTCTCTCCTAGTCCCTTGGGTCCAGTCCGTCCGAAGCGGCAATAGTAGTGGAACACTGCCTTCAATAGCGTATGTGGATCATTCGGATCTCCCTGGAGTTTCTCCTGCACTGGAGGCGCAGACGTTGGTCTCTCGGCTGAAGCAGCAGTCGGTGACAGCGCTGGTGCTAACGTGCTAGAACCGGAATTGTTCCGACTTGACCTGCAATCCATACGTTAGACTTTATGAAAAAAAAATCTATGAGGTCCAGTGGCCACGTACGCCGTCCGCTGCTTGGGGCGATTCACATCGTGGTTGAGATTGGTGCGCATGGCGTTCGACAGGTCGTGCACCACGCGCTCCGTGAGGTCATTGCAGTCGGCCTCGAACCGCTTCTTGTAGACACCCGTGTACGACTTGGGATCGTACAGACGCGAATACACGTTCGACTTGCGCGGCGTGGACGCCGACGGCGTCGGGGGCGCCGCAGTTGTCTGCTGGGTGTCGGGGGGTGACGGGGCCTCCTCCATTCTACTCTGCGCGCGGTGTATTTGTTTATGAACTGGTGCGTCGCCTGATCTACTAAATTAGGGTCCTGCCTGTCTCCAGGTGATCAAGCTGCCAGCAGGAATAGGTCGAGTGATGCACGAGGGAGGAGCTATTCTTGATCCGAGGTCACCGAGATGGAGAAGGTTAGGATAATAGCACAGTGTCGGGAGTTAGTGCGATGCACGACAAGTGGCGTCCTGGCTTTGGGTACCCGTTGACGGACGATCTGGATCTTCCGTCGTGCTGCCGCTTCCTCATGGGTATCTCTCACATGACCCTATTGTATCCGATATCCTACGAAGCAGTTGTGATACAAGACATGGCGTGCTGAAGTGATTAATTAACTAACCTACGCTCCTCTCGATGTATTGTGAGCTTCTACGAGCACACTCTGGTTTGACCCGAGCACGACTGCTTGGACCTGGCGCATGTGTCCAGGTCCTTCACGCACAGCATCCAGCACGAGGTGGCGCTATGAGAGCTGGCAGTGCATGAACAGCTCTTTGAGCAGGCCGCAGGGTCGGTGGAATGGCCGCGGTTGCACACCACCGAGCAGCCTTCCGAAGGTGCCGTTGCGCCAGCCTTCACGGTGCACTCCTTGTAGCTGCACGCAGCGTCTGCCGATGCGAGCAGATGACGACCTGGAGCGCAGCCCAGTAACTGATGGTCCGACTGATGCCCCTGCTGCACGTACTGCGCCGTCGTATTCGCGTGCTCGCCGAAGTCCATCTGCTTCAGCATGCGCTGGTACGACGGCAGCAACGTCATCTTGCCGAACCACGCGCGCAACAGGCGCTGCGTCTCCGTCATCTTCACCTCGGGCATACGCATGCCGTGCATCACGGCCGGGAGCTGCTCCGACGTGCCCACCCAGCGGTTGTAGCCCGTGCCCACCATGAGCGTCACCTGGTCGGGTTTGAGAATCGGACGCACGCGTTGGCCGTCGCGGCGCTGGATGATGAGACCCGATTCCGAGTCGTCCTCGCCACCGGCTTGAACAGACTTGAACGTGCTGTTGGCGCCGTCATTGTTGACCTTGTAGAAAGCAGGCGTGGCGAACACGATGAACATGCCGTCGTCCTCGTGCAACTCGAGCGACAAGTCGTCCTTGTCAGACGTTGAGGCCTGGGTACCTGAGTCCGCGCTCATGAGTCTACGCTCGTGCAGAGACGGCGTCTCGTAGGCGTGGAAATGGTCGAGACGCACGGCGTCCGTCATTAGCTTACGGCTCGAGACAGTCTTACCGTAGCCGTCCGTCGTGGTGAAGGTGGTAGCATCGAGTGTCGTGGCAACATTCAGCACGACCAGCTCCAGCAGCGACGAGAACTCGTCGTAGATGGTCTTGTATCCGGGACACGCAGCATCTGTAGTGGTGGCGGTGGCGTCGGCATCTTGTCCGGACGGCGTACTGATGGTGTAGCGGTTCGTTCCGTCCGTGAGCGTCTTGAACAGCAGGAACTCGGCGTTGACCTCTTGTGCAGACACGGCACAGGCAGCGGCCGAATCGAGGTAAGAGCGGCGCACCTGAGCGTACGACGGCACGTTGGTGAAGCTGATGATACCGTCCTTCTTGAGCGCGTCGAGGACGTCGTTGGGCGTGTTTCCGGTGGAGAGTGTTTGGTAGTCGAAGTTGGGGACCTCGAATGCAGGTACTTGTTCGGCGAGGTTGGTGGGTACTGCGCTTGCCATGAGCAAGGCAGCAAGACCCAGGAGCATTTGTGGCATGCTTGGTATGTTTGCGAAGATGCTGGTAGATGCTGGCTTAAAGCACAATGAAAATGTGTACATACTTGGGATCATTTGGCTGGGTTTGGCTCATGGTGTTGCGGGCATTCTGCTTGTCAATCTCAGATGGACAGATATGCACTGGTGGATGGTATGGCTTCCGATTTGCTTACAGCATTACGGTACGGTAATATTGCGGGCGTCAAGTTTGGTGAGAAGCGCGGAGCAGCAGGGTCAATTGTTGACTGAGTAAAAGGCTAAGCCCTTGCAATTTCCATTCTCCAAGTTGAAGTCATTGTACCATCTCAGCCACCGAGTCTGTGAATGCTTCGAGGGCAGCTTGGCTTATTCGAGCTTGTGTTCATGTACATGTATCTGGTACAAGGCACAGGAAGTGAATTTGTAAATGAATCAGTTTTTCACCTAACGTTATCGAAGTGTGCAGCAGCCTAAATATGTATCGTTCCTCAGGATTTGCAACCTGTCACTTCGATAATTGCAAGTTGCGTTTTCAGATTCTTCGGGCAACTTCGACGACCTTGCACTGTTCGAGCTCAGCTGAACAACCCACGCCAATGGGCCCGCAAACTTTGCGGCAAAGTACATTGATGACGCGGGCACGTGCTCCATGCTTCCCGTTGTGTGCAACGGAATCTGCAACATGTTGATACTCCCGTTGGGAGTCCCAAGCCCACTTCAAGACCACCAGCAAGAATCTGCGTAGCTCTCTTTGAAACAGGGCCAACTCGCCATCCACTCGTTTGCAATACGTACTACTACATGCAGCACATAATGAGGCCTCGTGTCGCTCTTGATGTTCGCTTATCTTGACATTCTATGCATTTTCAGGCGAACTCGCTGCACCAAATCGACAATTGTACATGCGCTGCCGTACCCATCTCACGATTAATTCGTGACATACTTAAGTACTGTAATTCGAAAAGATACTTGAAGAATTAATCTTTTCGAGCAGCAAAAACGAAGATGTTGCAAGCCACAGCATGTCCTATTATCAATATACCATCGAAGATTTCTTCATAAATGGCATGCATCGGTATACTGTCAGAGGAGGTGGGGCGGCTACCCTCTTGTCTTGTCGTAGGGTCAATTCAGCTTGCAATCCAGGTATTAATAACAACTTGGTATTAACAAGTGGGGAAGCCCCTGTCAACAATAGGCTGTACCATGCTCCGATGGGAAGCGTTGGGCTCTCGTATGATACGAGTCGTATCCATGCAACTCGCTTCGGCCAGGTTGATCCTCCTCCACCCACCGGATGTCACGGGTGCAACTTGCTGACATCTTTGCAAGTTGATCCTACAGAAATGATTTCTGACCTCTTCGGAGAGACCAAGCTTCGTGAACGTGGCGTTTTCCAATCAACGGCCCCTCTGATGCATTTCATCACGACGGTCTCACTCATTTCCACTTTTGGCTTCGAGCGCACACACCAACAAAGACTCGGTATCCAGAGCACATTCCAACACAATGGTCCAAGTTACCAAGATGCTTCTGGGTCTTGCTGCCTTGCTCATGGCAAGCGCAGTACCCACCAACCTCGCCGAACAAGTACCTGCATTCGAGGTCCCCAACTTCGACTACCAAACACTCTCCACCGGAAACACGCCCAACGACGTCCTCGACGCGCTCAAGAAGGACGGTATCATCAGCTTCACCAACGTGCCGTCGTACGCTCAGGTGCGCCGCTCTTACCTCGATTCGGCCGCTGCCTGTGCCGTGTCTGCACAAGAGGTCAACGCCGAGTTCCTGCTGTTCAAGACGCTCACGGACGGAACGAACCGCTACACCATCAGTACGCCGTCCGGACAAGATGCCGACGCCACCGCCACCACTACAGATGCTGCGTGTCCCGGATACAAGACCATCTACGACGAGTTCTCGTCGCTGCTGGAGCTGGTCGTGCTGAATGTTGCCACGACACTCGATGCTACCACCTTCACCACGACGGACGGCTACGGTAAGACTGTCTCGAGCCGTAAGCTAATGACGGACGCCGTGCGTCTCGACCATTTCCACGCCTACGAGACGCCGTCTCTGCACGAGCGTAGACTCATGAGCGCGGACTCAGGTACCCAGGCCTCAACGTCTTCCAAGGATGACTTGTCGCTCGAGTTGCACGAGGACGACGGCATGTTCATCGTGTTCGCCACGCCTGCTTTCTACAAGGTCAACAATGACGGCGCCAACAGCACGTTCAAGTCTGTTCAAGCCGGTGGCGAGGACGACTCGGAATCGGGTCTCATCATCCAGCGCCGCGACGGCCAACGCGTGCGTCCGATTCTCAAACCCGACCAGGTGACGCTCATGGTGGGCACGGGCTACAACCGCTGGGTGGGCACGTCGGAGCAGCTCCCGGCCGTGATGCACGGCATGCGTATGCCCGAGGTGAAGATGACGGAGACGCAGCGCCTGTTGCGCGCGTGGTTCGGCAAGATGACGTTGCTGCCGTCGTACCAGCGCATGCTGAAGCAGATGGACTTCGGCGAGCACGCGAATACGACGGCGCAGTACGTGCAGCAGGGGCATCACTCGGACCATCAGTTACTGGGCTGCGCTCCAGGTCGTCATCTGCTCGCGTCTGCCGACGCTGAGTGTAGCTTCAACGCGTGCACTGTTAAGTCGGGCGCAACGGCACCGTCTGAGGGCTGTTCAGTGGTGTGCAACCGCAATCACGACACTGACGCGGCTTCGTGTTCGAAAAGCTGTGAGTGCACAGTAAGCTCGCACAGTGCCACCACGTGCTGGATGCTTTGCGTGTTGGACCTAGACTCATGCAGCCTGGACGAGCAGGCATGCTCTGGCCAGTCTAAGGTGTGTGAATCGAGATCGGGCCCAGCCCCAGCACCGGCCCCAGCACCGGCCCCGGCACCAACCCCAGCACCTGCACCTGCACCGACGCCTGCACCGGCTCCTACGACACCGGCCCCCACGTCGGCCCCAACGCCGACAACTACAGCCCCGTCCTCGCCTTCAACCCCTACGACTCCCTCGTCGGACTCATCGACGCCTTCGGCCCCATCCACTCCATCGCCAGATAACAACACTCCTACTGGAGCGAGCGACGAGCATGACACTGATGCTCCGGCCTCGACGACCGCCGCGCCCACTTCTTCCACGGGATCCTCCTCGTCGAGTTCCACACCTGCGCCCACCACACCTGTGCCAGCCAGCGAGCACGGCGTGTGCTAGGTAGATATCGGCTTTACCACACATCGAATTTACAATATAAGATTGGTTAGCCTGCAAAGCGTACGTCGTCCTAACGACCGTCACTACAGGTGCCAGTATCGTCGCTGAAATGATGCGTTGTAGTACTGCGTTGCGGCGGAAAAGTTCGCTCCATTGTCCACAGGCATAGCCCAATCTGCTCGTGAAGGTAGGGATAGTTTTCACGGCACTGGCCCGAAGATGAAACTTTAGTAGAGTCATGTTTAGAACGTATTGTTTCTAAAGCTAATTTCTAAATAATAAAGGATTGACGTTTTTTGTGACAGCAACCAAAGTTGCCCGTCACAAAAAACGTTTGATTCGGCATCAGAATTCAACCTCCAAAGCCAATCATGAGCGGTAAGCTCCAGATCATATCCTCTGCTCTCGCACGCTCTAACGCTTGTTGTACCGCATGCCAGGCGCCCAGGAGGTGATCGAGCTGCTCACCAGCAGTGACGACTCCTCTTCCAGCGACTCAGAGCCGCGTCAACGCTTTGCGATCCGCAGCAGGAGCGAGAAGCACAAGGCGCAACTTAAGCCAGCTAAGCGCCGTTTGGTGCAACCTGCGCGCAGGAACAAGCGCCCAGCTTCCAGTGAGAACGACAGCGGTCACAGCAGTGCAGAAAGCGATGAAATCGAGCAGCGGCTCGAAAACCTGCAGCGATCTCGACGCTCTCCGGCGCCAAAGAAAGCTAAAGTTGCGCTAACGAGTCGGACCAGACCCGACCCAAAAGCGGACGGAGAGATGCGAGAGATCACGGAAGGCATGAGTTTCTACGAGCTACAAGCTCAGCAGCAGATGATGGAGCGGATTCAGGCCCAGAACCGTCGAAAAACCCAGCAAAAACCCGCAGATAGGGACAATGCAGAGCTCCAGGCCCAAAAGAGGGCGCTGAGTCAGTTCCACATGCAAAAAGCGCGCAAATCGGCGCCACAAAAGAGGAAATTGGACAGTGAAAGTGAAGAAAATGAGAAGAAGACGAGCAGTGACGAGGAATGGGACACTTTTACCAAAAAGGCGGCACAAAGGGAAGCTTTACGTCGACAGAAGGAGCATGCAAAGAAAATGGGCGTTCTGTCAGTGGAAAAGGCTCGTGAATCGGTGCAAAAGACTCAAATTTCTCGAGATACACTCAAATGTAAGCAAGCAGCGCGAAAAATGGCTTCAACTAAGCCGCAAGAGCGGAAACGCACCGTTCTCGCAATGAAATCCAGTAAAATGGTACGGAAAAGTAAAATTATCGATATAAAAAAAAACCGTAAAACGAGACCTCGGAGCAGCTCAAGTGAAGAAGAAGAGAGTGAACAAGAGAGTGAAGTGGGGAGTGAGCAGAAGAGTGAAGAGGAAAGTGAAGTGGAAAGGGAAGTGGAGGTAATTGCGTCTCCGTCGAAGCCAATTCGTCACGAAAAATCACCTAAACGATCAGAAAATGCCCTGAGTAAACACTCTCCACCTCCTGCACAATCTCAAACTGATGTACAAGCTACTTTACGGCTGCATGGCACGAGCGAAACGCAGTATTTAAAAGACAAAATGTCTTTTTACGAGCTGCAAGAACAGGAGAAGCTGATGGCGTTTTATAGGTCCCAGAAGAAGAAACTCAGTACGTCTACTGCGTCCAAGGAAAATGGACAAAATGCCAATATTACAACCGATACAACCAAGACCAATGGCAGTGGCCGTCGCGCTCGAATGGGAGTCAGTAACGACAAGGAGACAGTCGATACTTCCTCGTCGCTGGCTTATGTCGCTGCACCCGCTCGGAACGGATTCTTGGCGTCAAATGCGTCGTTCGTCTCTTCGACTGGCTGTAAGGCTACACCGACGGAGAAGCCTGCAAACCCTGTTATCCACTCGACCGCTTGGCGACGTTTAGTCTTCGAAGAAGCACCGCCGAATATCCTACAGGGCGTGACGGCAATTCCGTATTCTTCTGGTACGTACTGTCAATAATATCTCTGCGCATATTGACTAATGAGTTTGGCTCTGTAGGCTCCGATAAACCATTGTGGGAGTACGACAGGACTGGAAAACTCAAGAAAAAGTGCAGGTTTGTAGGTGCAGTGGGCCAAGGAGTTGCCATAACGGAAGATAATTTCGAGATACAGGTGAGGATAGCGAATACTTACGGACAATCACTTATTTATCTTAGAATACGGAGATTTTTGATAACTCTATTATGTTTTGCTTGTAGCCTCCAAGTCAGTCGGAAATCAACAGTCAAGTGCGCGATTTGGTGGACCAGGAGCTGCCTCATATTCAAAAATGTTATGCACGCAGAGTGCGTCATGTTCTACGAGATATGCGAAATCAAGTCTCTGAATATGCCCAAGCCCATCAAGTTATTCGAAGTGAACGGTACAGACGCCTCCAGTGGTCGGAAATCGCGAGTAAGTGGCTGCGGATATGCGCTAGAACCTTCACAAATTACTCACAGCTTTTTATTGTTGAGTAGACCAACAGTCCTGGATAGACATCGCTCCTATCGAACGTGCCATGGCCAAGCGGGTGCTGCAGAATCCCACACATACCGTGCGTCCATACAACTATCTGGTTGGAAAAGTGCGGTACTCCGTGCATCAAGACGGCATGCCTCTCGCGGCCTTAGTGTGTCCGGAGACTGTGACGCACTTGCCGAACGACATCACCCCCATCCGTCGCTCCTTCACTATGATCGGTGTCCGGAAGAACGCCTTTGTCGAGGACGACCCGATTCTACGATACGTGCCTTATCTGGGCGACGGAGAGCGCATGGTGATCGACAATAACCTCTACACTGAGACGACTATGAGTAAAGAGCGTCGGATCGCGGTGTTTGGTGAAGGAGAGGAGCTCAAGGCGCTGAATCCTGGCGCCAGAGATGATGAGATTATGGAGTATCTACTGCGAGTTATCGTGGCCAAATGTGGAGCCACCGAGCAAGTGTTTCTAGCTCTCCAACACGAAGCAGGCTTCGACCGACCACGCATAGATTACTGTGAAATGAAGGAGATCTGCAAGGCCGAACAACGCACAGCAAAGCGGATCGCTAGAGTGAGGGAGCTGCTACAGCACTCGTCTACTACTACAGCTCTACACAGACTGTCGCAGCCGTGTTGGTTCCTACAGGATCCAGCATCCCAGTCCTTATCCGAGAGGCTACAGCCTCCTCTGTCCGTCTTTGAATCCAATTACGCCCAAGCTCCAGACGCGCTGGGTATACGCGATCTCAAGACGTTCGAAGGGCTGGCCGAGTGGCATCGGGACTTGTTCTGTCGACGCTGTTTCACTTATGATTGCTCGGAGCATGGCATCCAGAACCCTCAACGCAGTATTCGCGCAGATCCGGTCTATCCGATGGTTAACGTGCCGTGTATTATGCTGAACAGACCAGAGGTACTAGTCCAAGACACGGATGACAAGAGCTCGACTTCTTCCACTTCTCCGGACGCAGAAGTCATCGAGTTAACCGGTTCCTCGTCAGAAGATGAAGGCAAGAGTCAACAAACCCCTGAGACTCAACCGGAGCCGCAACCGGCCGCGGAATATCGCCGTTCAAGACGCACTCAGACTCGGATCAGCTCGTTGGCCACCAATAGTTTGGTGACGCAAGAGAAACAACTGGAATCTGAGCGACTGGCTAAGCTGGAGAAGCAACGCAAAAGACGCGAGAAGTTCGCACGCTCGGCAGATAATTCCGAGTATCTGGATAATTCGTACCTCCCGGCTGTCACGTCTACACTGAAGAAATTGGTGTCCAATACGCAGCCATGTGGCCCGTGTTGTTGGCTATCTGCGGACGAGAAGAACTCAGCTGAAAGGTGTCCGTCTTTGAGACAGGTTGATGCCGTTCTAGTTCGCAAACTGGTGTCGTCGCTTGGACCTAACGCGTGTGTTATCTCCGCCATGCTCAAGAGTCCAAGCTGTACGTGTGCGCAGATCTCAAAGTTCTTAATCGAAGAGAAACGTCGACGAGACAGCGGAGACGACTTGGGTACTGATCTGTCCATACCTGCTGAAAGACAGCGCAAAGGACGGCGTCACAGCTCTGGAGTGGGCTCGAACAGGTCTCTGGCCAAGCGCGTACGCGAACAACGCAGCTATGATCGCGAAAAGAAGCTCAGCTACAAGCCGTGCAACCACGACGGCGTCTGTGACGAGACGTGCGACTGCAGCAAGCGCGGCCACTCGTGCAGCAAGGCTTGTTCGTGTCCTCGAGACTGTCCGAATCGTTATCAAGGCTGCAAATGCTCGTTAGGGAACTGCCATACACAGGCTTGTCCGTGCTGGAACTCCGGACGAGAGTGCGATCCCGACTACTGCTTCACGTGTGGAGCCAGCGACGCCGCCGTCGCCGCATTTCACAGTGAATTCAAGTCTTGGAGCAGCCACAATCTCAATATTTGTCAAAACGTCAACATGTTGCGTGGAAGTATCCAGAAAAACGTCGGCGTGGCGTTCTCAGCGACGCACGGGTGGGGCGCGTATGCACTGGAGCCGATTCAGAAGGACGAGTTCGTGCTGGAATACACTGGAGAACTGATCACGGATGAGGAGGCCGAGCGGCGAGGCGCCATCTACGACCGCAAGTCGGTGAGCTACTTGTTCGGTGTCAATAGCGAGTACGTGGTGGACGCGGCCAGGAAAGGCAACAAGGCCAAGTTCGCGAATCATAAAGCCAAAGAGGTGGCGAATCTGGACGTCCGCATCATTTCTTCCAACGGAGAGGACAGGATTGGACTCTTTGCGAACGAGTCTATTGCGGTGGGCGAGGAACTGTTCTTCGATTATGGCTACACACACGACAGTGCGCCGAAGTGGAGCCAACATGACAAGCCAAAACAACTCGAGAAACGGGTTTACGACGTTGTCGATGACGAGAACGAGTGGGAGTGCGTGGCTTGCTGTTGTATGGGCTTTTTGTGACGGAGTTTTGTGTGTTGACGGTTGTGTTTTTTTCGTGTTGCAGACAATGGGAATAGCCTGGTAGTTGGTGCTGTCGAGATGAGTGGAAGGTTGTGTGTCTGCCTGGTACTGTTTGTGGGGAACTCGGTTTTATAACGATTGAGCATTAGCACCAGCTCTACAGTTAAAATACTCGAGGCGATGGAGCTGTCACGGATAGTTTGAGTGTTTTAATCTCTTGTTTTTTTACGTGTAGATGTACCCGTCAGTCGCCGGAATCACCAATTGATTTCTGATCTGCTACCCTCCGTCGGCCCATCAACATATTATCTGCATCATTATTGCACGTAATCGCTCAAATATCGCAAAGACTCATACTGATGTGATGATTGGCTTATGCGCACGCAGGATTGTGCACATGAGTGGATTACGTGGCCAGTGTGCACAATCCAGGTTACTGCTACCACTGCAACACAAGCGCAGATCGAGCTCACTTTGCGTTCTGCTGTCTACTACTCAAGCACCAATCGACCATGTCCACTGACAACGCCACCTCTGCCAAGATGACGTACCGTTTCCTCGGTAACTCCGGCCTCCTAGTCTCCAAGATGGCACTTGGAAGCTGGATGCTCTTCAATGAGAAACACACGGTCGACGCCTGGTACGAGATGATGAAGATCGCGTTCCAGCACGGCGTCAACTTCTACGACAACGCTGAAGTGTACGGCAACGGCCAGGCCGAAGAGGTCATGGGCGCTGCTATCCAACGCGGTATCGCCGACGGCATCTGGACCCGCGAAGACCTCGTCGTCACCACCAAGATCTTCATGGGCGCCAAGGGCTGGGAAGAATCCGGTCCCAACGCTCAGGGTATCAGTCGCAAGCACATCGTCGAGGGCACGAAGGCCTCGCTTCGTCGCCTGCAGCTCGACTACGTGGACGTCCTCTTCTGCCACCGACCGGAGCCGTACACGCCCATCGAGGAGACTGTGCGTGCCATGAACTACGCTATCAACCAAGGCTGGGCCTTCTACTGGGGCACCAGCGAGTGGAACGCCTCGGACATCGTCGAAGCCTGTGAGATCGCCGACCGTCTCGGTTTGATCCGTCCTATTGTGGAGCAGGCTCAGTATTCTCTCATGGAACGGTCCAAGGTGGAGTTCGAGTTCGAGCCGCTGTACAAGAAGTACAAGCTGGGCTTGACAACGTGGGCTCCGCTGGCTAATGGTATCCTCACGGGCAAGTACAGTGGTGGCGTGACGGAAGGCACCCGGTTCGCGGACCCTTTTTTCAAGAACATCTTTGGCGATACTTTCGAAGACCGCGTTGCTAAGGCTGACAAGCTCAAGGTGATCGCTGATGAGATCGGATGTTCATTGGCACAACTTGCCATGGCCTGGTGCATCTCGAATGAAAACGTGTCGACGGTGCTAGTGGGAGCCAGTCGTCCGTCTCAACTGGAAGAAAATCTGAAGGCGATTGAGTTTGTGGACAAGTTGACGCCAGAGGTCAAGACTCGCATGAACGAGATCGCCACGTTCATCCCGCAAGCGCCGAAGCAGGACCCGCTCGCGACGTTCCGTGCTCGCTGGCTGTAGACGAATACCGTTCGTTGATCCCCAGAAAATAATGTTTGTCGAATATCTACAAATAAACAGATTTTTTCTGGGATCCAATAGATTTTCTTTTAGCGAATTTGCTGTCAAAATTCAAGCTGAAAAGTAAAGTCGTTCGAACTTTACCAAGTGCAGTTATGACCTTACTCTGCAATCAGCGAACCAAACGGATACTCGCCCGTGGACAACGTGAACGTCGCGCATAGAGGGTTCGCAGCAGCAGTCTCGTTGTACACGTCGCAGTCCGTTTCAGGCTTGATCGCAACCACATAGTCCGCATCCTCGGCAACAATCTTCAGACCCTGGCCGATCTGGGGGTAGTACACGCTCCAGTCCGCCGCAGTCAGCTCGAACGTCACCGTCTGCGAAGCACCCGCGTCCAGACTGATCTTCGAGAACTTCTTGAGCTGCTTCACCTCCGGTACCGAAATGGATCGGTACGGCTGTGTGAGGAACAGCATCACCGTCTCCTTACCGGCCACACTACCAGAGTTGGTCACCGTCACGGACACGTTGACGGAGTCGGAGCTGGAGGTGACGTTGCTGGTGCTGATACTCATGTCCGAGTAGGTGAAGTTCGTGTAACTGAGACCATGGCCAAAAGTCCACTGCGGCTCGCAGTAGTCACCAGTAGCGCACTGGGTGCTGACACGGTGGCGGTATGGGATCATGACGTTGCCCGAGTGCTTCGGGTACGTAATAGGCAGACGTCCACTTGGATTCACATCACCGTAGATAATTTCCGCAATAGCTTTACCACCGAGTTCACACGGGAGGAATCCGTTGATAACGGCATAAACATGTTCAGGGAGATCACCAAGCAGACGTGGTCGCCCCTCGAAGAGTACGACGATGACTTTCGTTCCGATGGAAGCGAGCTCCTTAACGTACTGGATTTGTCCGACGGGCAACGTGAGATCATCGATGTCCCCCGTCTTCTCTTCGTACGGTTCCTCACCGATCACAACAACGGTGTACTCAGCCTCACTAGCGAGTTTCTTCGCAGTGTTCAAGTCGTTGTCAGAGTAGCTGCCGTTGACGTTCAAACCGTTGAAGTAGCTGAACGAATCATTCCCCACGATCTCCTCAATGCCTTGCTTGACTGAAGAACCGTGCGAGAACATGTCGTTTCCTGACACGCCTAGGACCTGAATGGTCCATCCTCCACATTGGTAGCCGACGTTATCAGCGCTGTGACCTGTTAAGAACACCAATGCGTCCTTCTTGATAGGCAGTACATTGTCGTCATTCTGAAGAAGCACTGCGGATTCACGAGCCAGATTTAAAGCAGCAGCGACGTCGTTGTCGTTACCGACCAACGCGAGGTTCTCCTCACCCGGCAGTGGGTTGTCGTACAGACCAAGCTGGAGTTTCAGCTTGATAATACGACGAACAGAGTCTTTCAACCGGTCGAGTATAGTCGGCTCCTCCCCGATCAACGCGTACGTTCCGTTCGTAAAGGTGGTCCCAACTCCGACCATACTCATGTCGATAGACGTACGTTCAAGCGTGAACTTGGTTGCCTCAGCTGTCGTTCGTGCCACGCGGTGGAAATCTTCGAGAGCGTCGATCTCTCCATAGTCCGTCACCATCATACCGTCGAATTCGAAATCGTTACGCAGCAGTGTTTTAAGCAGCCTAGTACTCTCAACAGTAGGGACTCCATTCACAGAGATATAGTTCTGCATGCCGGTCAAGACTCCAGCATCGATTCCTGCTTTGAACGACGGTCCGAACGTGTTGAGTAGATCGAAATCGGAGATAGTGACGCCGTCCTTATCATGGCCCGTGGGGTTCCACGAATACCCGATCCAATGTTTCATACACGCAGCAGTCTGGTTGTTACTCTGCATACCGCGGATAGTAGCGTCGCCCATAACTGCAGCGAGATGTGGGTCTTCACCGAACGTTTCGTACGTGCGCGGCCAGAGCGGATTGTGCGCGATATCGAGCACTGGACCGAAGACCCAGGGGATCCCTGCAGCGAGGGTGTCACGAGCAGTGATACGACCTTGCTCGTAGACCAATTCGGTGTTGAAAGACGCCGCACCGTTGATCTGCTGTCCGAAGAAGACCGTGTCGAGCAGTAGAGCATTCCCGTGGACGGCGTCCGTGCCGTATATCATGGGGTGTCCCCCGTTCTCTTCCATGGCAATTCTCTGGATCCCGCCGACGAATTCTCGCATTTGTGTCGTAGTCCAGCCCCAGGAGCCATTGATCTCACCACGGATTGTCATTGGAGTCTCAAAATACGAGCCGACGTGGGCTTTAGCGTACTCCCGGACAGCGTCTTCGTTGAGCTGGTAGGTCGCGTTGATGAGGCAATTTGAGTCATCTGACCCACGAGGTCGACGTTGGTGAAGTTTATCATGATAGCGTCCACCTGGGCATCCCATTCATCGGCTATAACGAGATGTTCGCCTTTGAGAAGAGCCAAAGTCAGAGCTGCGGTTGCCCACGATTTGATCATGATTTGTGGTCTTGGATTGTGTTTTAAGTCTTGGAAATGGGGAAGCTTGGGGGCCTTGGAGCAAATTGAAAAGTGAGAGTTGCTCAGCTTCTCACTCTAGGCTCGCTGGAGTGCTGCTGAATCGGTGAGACAGTGTCTCTGTTTGAGCCTCTAAGCATTCCCTTCTGGTGCTACAGCTCATTATCTTGCGAATGCGAATAGTGAACCTTGGATTTTGGCCTCTACTTAGTTCAGGAACGTTTACTCTACTAACCGGCAACTCCCCCCACATAATCATTAGTCGCGCCTAAGCAACAAGCAAGGGATGAAAATGTTCTTTGCCGGACCGCATAAACACCGATTGATAGTACCTCGCGATACAACAATAGTATCCACGCCAAACTATTTGCTGTAACCTGAGATAACACTTGGCCACCGTTTGTATCTTCATCTCACCTCCAGCACTCGGTAGCTGATACCCGCAACAGGATGCTTGCTCAACGTCCAAACTACAACTATTCAGCTCAATGGGTATGTCGTCTCCGACACTCATCCGACTACTAGAAAGGTAAAGCCAAGGATAGTGTCTTCGTGTACACCATTAAGAAAACTTGGAGTCCATAAAAACTTGTTCACGCCGTATCCGACATGAATTATTAGATATTTCTTTCCTCTTCACACCAGCCGATCGCTCATACTTTCGTCACGAATTGCCCCCTCCTTGTCACTCCCAGACGCAGTCTCGCTACTCTGCGTATCAACAGAGATCTCAATATACGACGAACGCTTCCACCACGACCTCTCAAGCCGCCACTGGATCCCTTTGTCCTTAAACTTTTTCTTCTCGTTCATGCGCCGTAGTTGCAACTGCAGACGGCTCTCAGCCTCCTGGACTTGAGTGCCAGCACAATAGAGTGACAAACCCAGTGTGCAGATGCAGCAGCCATAACCGAAACCTTTGCACGGCATGCACGGCCAATGGTCCATCAGCGCGTCGTTTATGATGGCCATACTCTTGTCAAAGTCCTCGCGAGTCATCAGCGCCCGCAGCCGCTCAGACTCTGGATACTCGTCGTCGTAGCTAGACGCCAAACCATTGACGAACACTTCGCCCATAGGCTGGAGCACCGCCAAGCACTCGCGACTTGATGCCATGTTCCCTTATCTGAGTCCGTTGACAATCGATTTTTGTGTATGTTGGACCAAATTATGCTAATAAATGTAGCCATGTAGCTATTTTTTCGCGTCGTTTCATGAGCAATAGCCAAGTGAAGATGGCGACGAAAGAGAACTCTCTGGACAGCATTCGCTCTCCAAGATCGCACCATGGAGCACGTCAGAGCTCCAGTAGCCACATGTCGGAGCCTTCAGCTCGAAATTGGTATCTGCATCGACTGTACTTGCGCTCCGAATTCAAGGAATGTCTACGAGTGATCGAAGGAGTGTTGAGAGAGCATCAGGGACTGAGCGAGTACCCGTTGTATGTCAAGGCTCTGATCCTACGCCAGTCTGGACGAATCCAAGAGAGTTTGCAACTGTTCCAAGCTGCAGCATGTCTGAATCCAGAGAACAAGGAGAATCTCAAGCAAGTCGGACGATCTCTCTATCTATTGGGTAAGCACACGGCTGCCATTGAGGTGTACGAGGAGATCTTGACCATGGGACGTGTGGACGACTGGGAGATTTACCATAGCATGGGGCTTTGCCACATGTACCTTAAGGACTACGACCGCGCGGCGCAGAATTTCCAGCGAGCGAACACTATTAACCGCCATGATGCGACTTTCCTCCAACTGGGCAAGGTGCACACGCTTCGGGAGGACTTTAAAGCTGCAATTAACGTCTATTTGGAGGCATTAGAGTTCTCACCGGAGAACCCGGAGATCTTAACGACGCTCGGACTGCTCTATCTTCGTGTCGGCGAGAACTTTCGCGCCTTCGACTACTTGGGCAACTCACTTACGCACGATCCACGAAATCCGAAAACAATCCTTGCTGCAGGCTCGATCATCCAGGATCACGGGGATATGGACGTTGCCCTCGTAAAGTACCGCGTGGCTGCGGCTCAGACACCCAATTCGGCTCAGCTTTGGAACAATATCGGCATGTGCTTCTTCGGTAAACAACGCTACGTAGCGTCCGTGGCCTGCCTCAAACGTGCGCTGTACTTGGACCCGTTTGAGTGGATCACGTCGTACAATTTAGGCCTCGTGCACCTTAATACGGGCCAGTACGCATCGGCGTTCCACTTCTTTAGCGCCGCCATTAACCTAAAACCAGACTTCCCAAGCTCGTACATGTACTTGGCCATCACGCTGAGTCGTCTGGACGACTTCGAGAACGCCTGCAGTGCATTCGACAAGGCCATCGAGATGGAGCGGTACAGCCCAATTACTACACATTGTATCTTGGTTACTGATGAGTGTTTTGATGTTTGGGGGATGTAGAGATCACATGTTCCACCTCAACTATGCCATCACGCTGTACAACAACGACGAGATGGAGCGAGCCAAAGTGCAGTTCGACCGCTTCGAGGAGATCTTTGAGGGTCTGGACGAAGAGGCTCGTTCGGCCGACCCAGAGGTGCAGGAGCAGCGTCAAGCTCTGCTAAATGCCCTAGTGGACTGACTGCAAGATGAGCAAGGAATTCGCTCCGTGTCACGGCTTTATATTTCTACTCGATGCAAAATTTGAAACAACTTCAACAAGTTGCATTTGTCAATTTTTTTTTTTTGATTGTTGGTTGAAAAAAAAAGATCTGCGTCCTTCAACGATACTTAGCAACAACGGCGACGAAGTTGCATTTCTCACCTTTAAACTGCCTCCAAGACGAAAGGGATGACTTCGCAATTGGCAGGATGGATTCGGATGCCCAAGACGACAGCGCAGACCGATTCCATAAAGCCCGAGTGTGTCACTACAACGACATTCCGTTCAGGTATCTCACGGAAAAGCTCCAGTAAGAACTCCTTTGCTCGAGCCTGCATCTCCTCGTCCGTCTCGCGATGCGTCGTTGTCCAGAGCAAGTCGTTGTCGTCTTTAATGGCTGTAAAGTCCACGCCTGGGAACTTGAGCTTCAGCTCTGAGATTGAACGCCTTTTATCGCATGTGTGACAGCCAAGAATTTCGCGGCAGCTTTCGATGCAGACGAACGGCGTGTCCGGTATCTGGTCTTTGGCAAAAAAGTTTTGAGCTGTTTGAATCGCCCGGGAGAGCGGCGACACCGCCACCCGCTCAATCGGTGGCATGCCTCTCTCCAGCTCTGCCTTCACACTACTCGGTCCTTTGCTCTGTGCGTCATTGATACCGAATGGCGTGAGATCTGCGTCCAAATATTTCTCTCGAAAAGCGAGATCGGATTCCCAGAGTTCGGCTCCGACTTCGTTCGCCGTGGCATTATGGATGCCCTCCGCGTGGCGCACAAAGTACACGACCTTCACTCTTCTTGGGACATTCGCGCTTTCTGCGTCGGGTTTCTCTAGTTGGGCGATTTTCCGTTGGAACTCGTCCCAGGACGGAGGTTCGAGCTGGAAGCGCTTGAAGAGCGACACGGACTCTGAACTATTGGCAGGGGGTTTCGGAGCGAAAAAACCTTCGATGGCTCGTACCGAAGTGGGGGCTGCGGCGGCAGTGGCAGTCGCAGCTCCATCGGCATTGGCAGCCGAATCCAGCTCCGTCGTCTCGGTCATTGTCGTCTGATAGGAATGGGACAAATGACATCCGGCCAGCAGCGCTCTTCAGTTACGATCCCTGTCAAAAATGATATCTAAAATTCGGACGAATGCTAAATCTGGCACTGGACAGATTGCGTACAGTATATTTTCGGTGTGCTTTTTCTTGCATGCTTTTTATTATAATAAAGATTTTTTTTAGCTGGTCGTGCACCATTTCCGTGCGGACAATGAAGTCGAGGCGGCCTTGCTTGAGCAGCGAAGGAGTTGCTGACGCTGATGCAAGGCTTTAGAAGCAGATCTATACCGCTGCATGCGCGGGATGAGTCGAGCGTGCGGTGATTCACCGCCATGACAATGTCGATTAGAAACCGATGCCGACGATAAACTTCTGCGACACCCGGCTGAGCTCTGCGCTTCAACATCCACCACCTGCCGATCGCGTAAACCGAGCGAAGAGCACAGAGTCCACCAACAAGGCAGCACGCTTCGCTTTGGAGGCGTCGATGTCTGCGAGCTGGAGACAGTAGTTTGGGACGGAATAGCAGACACGAATACACCGTTTCGGTGTGCGATGCTTTTTTTTTCGCGCAGTAAGTTGGAGATCTGCTCCTCGACTCTACTGTATCGACGACAGTGTTCATCTCCAAGTTTGCTTGGGGTGTTGTCCAACTGCAAAGCACGCAAAGCGGAGCAAACGTGATGAGCTGGTGCTTGACTTGTCTTGATCTTGGCCAATCTGGTCGATACAGTTCATATCTGTATTTTACAAACAAAACGTTACGAAACAAATTCCAGCCAATCAGAAACCGTCCAACTTGACTAGATCGATTAGCTCCAATACTTGTCGCATACAAAGCTCTAATCTCTTTTTTTTTTCGAAAAACAGAAAACCTTATTGGATTACGGTAATTTGATAAGAGCCAAATTGAGAGACTTGCACCATTCTCTCTTTTGCCTCCAAGCAGCCACAGCCACATCAGACTCAACAGTCTAAAATGACACAGGACCTTATCAAGAAGAAACTCGACCCAAACAGCGACAGCACAGCGCCTGAACAGAAGCGCGTGCGACTCAGTCCGCCCATTCTGCCCAGCGTGTCGACGATCACGCCGCCGTCGCTGCCGCCACTGCCTCCACTAAGGGACGTCACTTCTCCGAAACTCGTCACAACTTCTGTATCCCCTAAAACGTCAGTCACGGAAAAGAGCAACGCGCACAAGCTGGCGGAGCTGCGACGCAAATATCTGGGCGATATCGGCATGGTCATCCAGGAGCTCAAGGCTGTGCTAACCTACGGCCCTGGATCGGCCAGCCCCGACGCACCCGTGTCGCCGTCCGTTGTGCTCAAGCTCGTGCGCACCGTCCAGACACTCGAGAAGCTGCAAGCGCTGTTACTGATGAACCCAGCTCGGCTGCGTCGAGTGTCAGTGGCGCAGCTGGAGATCGTCGAGCAGCAGATCAAAATGAACCTGCTCCCACTTGCCACTTTACTGCGTAGCTTCGACAACGAGGAAAAAGGCAAACATTCGCGAGTGACATCTCCATTGGCAAGTATCAAGAAGGTAGACCAGGGCTGGACCAGTAGCGACACGGACTCCCCCCGTTCCCCGTCAGGAGTGTCCGTGTCAGCACCACCTCAACATGATTGGCGTTTCCTGTCGATGGCGCTTAGTCTGCAGTTGTAGTTTACCATTAGCCTATCAATTTTAACGCAATAAAGAACGAGCTAATTTATTGTAGAATTCGCCTTGAGAAATGACAAACATTCCTTTGGATAACTTGCATGCAAGTCACCACCAGTGCAAATTAGAAATGTCTTCAGGAAGATAGACATGCTCCAATTTGATACTATGCGCCGGAAGGTGGATACGCATGGTACATGTCGAGTGTAATATCGACAGTTCCTGCGTTTTCCCACTTTCGAATCACTTCTCGAGAACGCAGGTCGGCCTGGCGAATTGGCTCAGGCACACGGTACTGCGAACAAGCTTGGGCGATGGCGACGCTCGTATCCAGAGACAGCATATGCCCCACCGACACGTACACGGGATTCTTGACGCCAGCTGTGCCGCACAGCGCAGCTCCCCAAATTTTGCCGGATTTCCCAGTGAGCTTGACGAGATCGCGGTCTTCTTCTCGCGCTTTGGCCATCAGGCCTTTCACATCGGGCTTGGTGAGACCGTCGACATGGAGAAATGTCTTGCCCACACCAATGGTTGGGATATTCTCGAGTACACCAAAGTGAGAGGCCAGACCGAAGCCTTGGGGATGCAAGATACCGTTACCGTCCACCAGTGTCACATCAGGCAGCAGATCTGGCCAGAAAATTAAGACTACATTAGCCACTGGAACACATCAATGAACGACACTTATATCTGCACACCTGGACGGCGTCGGCGGAGATCATCGTACAGCTTTGTGAGCGCTGGTACCTCTCGAAATGCCAAGAAGCCGGCAATGTACGGGGCTGGTAGGGATACGTAGGTGAAGGCCTCGTACAGTACTGTCAGTGACGGGAAGTCGAGCACCACGATTGAAGCGCACGCGTGCTCGTCCGAGCCTTTGAGGAAGCTGATGTCCACGCCAGCTACTCTCCTCAGTAATTTACAACTGCTGGTCTCGTCACTTGGAGTGGCACAGTCAGTATCAGACTGAAGCTGCCACAGCACCACATCTGTCTCCATCAACTGCTGCTTGAGCTCCAATTGTTCCGCTGTTTCGCAGTCAAATCGTGACGTTAGATAAACAACAAAGGCATATCATTGTAGTAGGTGGCGCAGCGAAGACAACGCACTTTCCCACTGTTCGCGCGTCACCGCGGAAGTGTCTTCGACGCTCGCCATCTTTGCGAAAATGAACACGACAAGAAATTATCAACCCAACTTGATAATCACTGGTTTTCTACCAATAGAATGAAAGTTTCCTTTTTCGCATTGAAGTTGATCTAGCAGATTTTCATTCCACTGCCACTACGGGGTCTTCAGGCAGTAGCTTCTTCACAAGGTCCTTCTGCTCGGCCGACAGCTTCGTCGGGAACTGGATCTCATGATGCACGTGCAGGTTGCCGTGTTGGGAAGGATAGTTGTGCACAGGCATGCCCTCGCCCTCCACTGTGCGGACCTCGAAGGGCGTTGTCACCTTCGAGTTCTTGAGCACAACAGTGCGGTCGTCCAGATGCTTCATGGGCTTCTTGTAGCCCAGCAACGCCTCCTCCAGAGAGATCTCCAGGTCGTAGTGCAGATCGTCACCCGCGCGGCTACAAGACAGAACGTTAGCATTATCAAGAGACAAGTTACAGTGGTTCCACGTACCGGAAGCGGTTGTGGGGCACCTGGTGCAGTCGGAAGATGACGTCGCCCGGCACCATGCCAGGCCGTTGCTCACTCTCGCGCTCGAAGACAATCTGATGCGTAGATGGCATGCCCCTTTCGATCTCTGCTGCCAGCACCTTGTCCTCCTTTACGACCTTATTGCCATGACAGAACGGACACGCCTCCTTGAAAGTCTTGCCGCGTCCGCCACATTTGGGGCACGGCTGCTGCATCTGCACAGTGAATCCCGGTCCCATCTTTTGCTCCACCAGCACGTGTCCAGAGCCACCGCACGTCTTGCATGTGGTCGTTTTACCTCCTTTAGCTCCAGTACCGCGGCACTTGCGGCAGATGACATTGCGTGCGAACTGTGCCTGCTTCTTGGCCCCGTTGTAGAGCTCCTCTAGCGTCACGGGCATGTCCACGGCAGCGTCAGGGCCACGCTGTTTGCCACCGCCACCGAAAAAGGCGTCAAATGGACTAGAAGGGCGTCCACCCGACTTCTCTTCGCGTTCGAGGCCCTCAAAGCCCTCCAGATCGTACACTTGGCGCTTCTGCGGGTCCGATAGCACTTCGTAGGCGCGCGAGATCTCGTGGAAGCGGCTCTCAGCTTCCTCGTCGCCTTTGTTCTTGTCTGGGTGGTATTTAAGGCTCAGTTTGCGGTAGGCTTTCTTGATCTGAGCCTCAGACGCCTCCATAGTCAACCCCAAAGTCTCGTAGAAGTCGACATGTTCATGTTCGTGCTCGTGGTGGTGCTCGTGGTGGACCCCGTCGAAGCCAAAGTTGAAGCCAAACGCGTGTACGTCGCTTACGAACGTCAGTAGCGCCAGTACCAGCAGCAACAAGGGGCTCCGTCGTCGCACAGCCATGGTGATCCACCACCAGCCTTTAGTTCACTTCTAGAAGTCCACGTGGATAAAAAAAATAAAAATTACCAGGATACGACTGCTTTAATTCATATGCTCTATGTCAAGTTATTTATGTGGATTACACAAAGTCACTTCAACTTGTATCTTGAAGAGCTTTACAGCACGACGCACCATCGGTTGAAGAACTTGGGGCTCTCGTCTAACTGTCCGTGGACGTTTGTCCGATCCATCTTAGTGAGCATCTTAGTGCCTGTAGGTCTCCCTTCCAGACGCTTCGCAGACGGGAATAGTCGGATAAGCTGGCGAATGTCATGATCCGACATGTACGGGTCCAGATACCAGTCGCGAGTCTTCACGTGTGGGTTCTTGGCAGTGCCTGGAGTACCGCTCGCCGCACTCTCGCAGTGGCTAAAGTTGAGCGCAAGCACTAGCAGAGCCAGAGCATTGTGTGTGAATTCGGAATCGCCGCTTTCGACGAACACGGCGTCCGATACTACAGTTTAAAACAGCTCAACAGGTCAGCAAGGCATCACTAACAGTATTAGACAATGTGCACTTACGTTTCCACGCCACAACAGTTGAGCTCTCCAGGTTCCACTGCAGAGCAGCGCGAAGTCCCGCCAGGAATGGATGACTACCAACGTTGGATAGGTGTTTTTCTATGAACACCTCCATACGCTCCATCGTCTTGGTGTGGTTTTCAATCGTGCGCAAATAATCGTGTTGTACACGCACCGACAGCTGCTGTCGGGCGTTGCTGTCCGTCCAGATTTCAAAATTTGTTCCCTGGGTCTCCTTAGCTTGAGTATCAAACTCCGAATACTACACCAATAAGCAACTATTCGTTAGAAACCGCACCGGCAAGCCAATCAATCTGCATTCCAAATTCCTACTCACCCTTTGGTTTGAAACATGGTCGTGATATCCTGCGCGTACTTCATTCTTCACCACTTCTAACATCTGAATGCTGCGACAACAAGCACGACCAACTCCTTCATTAGCCTTTCAAAAGCGCTAATTTGCCAATACCACTCACGTCTGATTGAAATTCTCTTCGTGGCCAGGCACCATGCACTTGTGCAGTCCCAACATCTGCACAGTCTCGTTGAATTGCTCGTCAGCTCCAGTCTCCTCCACTGCTGAAATACTGCAGCAAAAAGTAAATGCATCAGATATTAACAGCTAAAACTTGGAGTGCCCGTCTTCATGTACACCAGCGCACCTGATTTCGTCCACTTTACTCGCTTCGAAGTGGTCTAAAACGCGTTTGGCCGACTCGTCCTGGTCGTAGTAGAACTTGGCGCAGAGTTCACGCCAGCGCTGTTGCCGCACAACGCGGTTGTCCTCCAGACTCGCACACTGGCATCCTGAGACACAGGCGTATATAACGAGCCGTCAGAACCTCAACCCCTTTTGCCGTACGCTTGACGTGCTCGCCATCCAACGCACCATCGGAGCCCATGATCTTCAGATGATGATGTGCCGCACTTTGAAGGGATTCGAAAAGGAGAACTATCTGCCAATCAAAACGTTTCTTGAATATTAATGGACAAAAGTAAATGTAGCCATATGTTGGTGTCTTGGTGGACAAGTTGTCCCTTGATGTCCACATACTCTACGATACGCGAATTAGCAGTCGAAATACTGTAGCTAGAGATGTCCGTTCTAAGTGTAGTTGATATTTTGCCTTATGCAAGTGTTCTTCGTGAACCGTACTGACAGCAGTAGTGTTGCAACTTCTACAGCTCCCAAATCTGGAGTGTTTCAGATTCATAACGCCTCGAGCACGATTGGGACAACCTCGCAATTGCTGGGACGCACTTGTGTGCCTAGCGTGACGGCGCAGATCGCCTCAATGATGCTAAGGTGCGCTGCCACCACCACATAGCGCTCTGGAATCTCACGGAAAAGTTCCAGCAAAAACTCACGTGCGCGCTTCTGGATCTCCTCCGTTGTCTCGCGATGTGTAGGTGACCACAGCTGGTCCTCTTCATCCTTCATGCGCGAGAAGTCCACATCGGGGAACCTGCGCTTGAGTTCAGATAATGGCCGCCTCATGTTGCACGTGTGGCGATCGAATGTCTCGCGGCAGCTCTCGATACAAGTGAAAGGCTCATCTGGAATTTGTTCCTTCGTGAAAAAGTTCTGTGCTGTTTGAATGGCACGCGAGATTGGAGACACCACGACCCTCTCGATGGATGGCATTCCTCGCTCCATTTCAGCCTGAACACTCGTTGGTCCTTTGCTTTTTGCGTCCTTAACTCCGAATGGGGTCAAGGGGGCGTCCAGGAAAGCCTCGGTGCGTGCGAATTCGTCCTCCCAACGAGGTGAGCCGTACTTGGTATGGGCCTCGTTGTGGGTACCCTCGGCGTGACGCAGGAAGTACACGACTTTAATCTGTCGGGGCGTTTCATCCGATCGCTTTTCCTTTTCAAGTTGGACCAATTTCTGCTGGAACTCGCTCCATGACGTCGGCACCATCTCGAATCGTTTGAAGAGTGGCAGTGGTGTGGTTGTATCATTTTCTACCGCTGTTTTGGGCGCAAAGAAGCCGTCGACGGCCTTTACGACGGTAGGGGCGGCAGGGATCGAGCTGGCGTCGGGTGCGTCGGTGTTTGCAGTCATGGAGGTTGCTGGAAGCGAGCAATTACACGAATGAGATGCTTTGTTTTGGTGCTTGGGACCAGAACGTCGCTAAAATTAGATCATTTTCGGCTGAGATTTCGATGTCATTCACACGAGGTCAAAAAGCCACTGAAACGGGGTGATTCAACAACTTCAACCACTTGCACCCGTCCAGCGACGCAGCTCACTTCGCTGCGTGATATCACGTGACAATCTCTCAGTCGCCGTAAGAACGTCTATAGTCATGGAACAGTGTACATCCACCGGTCAAATGGCTGGTGTTAGCGACTCCGATACAAGCGGAACCTCCGCCGTAAAGATCGTCGATGGCTTCTTCAGCCCCAAAGTTTCAGACGTGAACGCCGAGCTGTTGCTCTTCAAGAGGTTTAACAAGATTCCGACGTCCTGGCGCGCTTTCCAGCAACAGATCGATTTGCTGATCAAAAGCTCGCGTAATGTGAAGGTGGTTTACTTCGTCCGTCATGCGCAGGGGTACCACAATCTGGCCGAGGAGAAGTACGGCGTCGGTCGTTGGGAGGACGAGTTCGCGCGAACCGACGAGTTCCTAGACCCGGACCTGACCCCTTTCGGTGTCGAGGACGCTAAGAGCAAAGGATCGTCGAGTGTCAAGGCCGAATTGGAGCGAGGCATGCCGCCCATCGAGCGGATAATTACGTCTCCACTCTCACGAGCGATTCAGACGGCGCAGTCCTTCCTTACAACTGACCAAGTGCCGAATCAACCCTTCTTGTGCATGGAAAACTGCCGCGAAGTGCTCGACTGCTACACGTTCGATAAGAGACGCCCGCTGTCTGAGATCAAGCAGAAATTCCCGTACGTCGACTTCTCAAGGATGAAAGACGAAGAGGACGTGCTGTGGTCGGCGACCCACCATGAAACAGAAGACGAAATCCAAGAGCGAGCGAGGAACTTCTTGTCCGAACTCTTCGATGCTGTACCGGAACGCTATGTGGTGGTGGTATCCCACGTCTGCTTCATCCAGGCGGTGTGCGCTATCACCATGGGCATTCACTTCCGTCCCGATAACTGCGAAGTTGTGCCACTGGTGCTCGAGGCCACTTGACAGCGCGATTGAAACCTCCCTTGCAGACATTTAACTCGCGGAATGCATAGCAACTTATCGATATACTCTCTTTGAACACCGTTCTCTGTCTTAAGCTTCTTTCTGCCATTAAGGTCTCCCGTCATTGCTGTCCGTCCGTTCCGCAAGCTGTGACTCTTCACTCGCAGCGGATTCAGTCACTAGCTCAACCGCATCAGCAATAATATCAGGGCGAATGCAGCGAAGTCCATGGGAAACCTGCTGAGTATGTCGTCGGAGCCACCTGCGGAGCGGAAGAGAATCCTCGGAGCTGCTGACAACACAAAGTCGCCAATCACAACCAATACAGAACCGCTGTTTCTCGATGAGGTGAAGGCTGAACCTGCTACTTGGAGCGAAGAGAGTCTTTGCCGAACGATCCAGCGCTTCTTTGGCCTGCTACCAGACTCCCCGGCAAGTTCCACAAACTAAACCTCACATATTTTCTACTATCTGATGTTGATACACTGATAAACAGGGAGAAATTCTCAAGAAGGAACAGCAGTATCCATTGTTCAAAAAGCGAATAACGTACGAGCCGCTAGCTTTTGCCATGGCTTGGTGAGGTTTTAACTCGGTTATAACATCACGCAGGGTGTCAGTGTTCAACGTAGGCAACCGAGTGGGAGCAATAATCATCATTCAACGGTTATATCGTCGATATCGTCGGTTGCGAATATGGCACGAGGTGAGCGATAACATGCTGTTAATTGCTCGAGGCCAACTTGAGACGCTACGAGCTCAGGAGCAGACAAATATCTCGGCGGCCAGCTTTCGGCAATTGCTAGTCGAAGGTTTTTCGGCAAGCAAAGTCTGCATTTCTGGAGCGTTGAAGACAGTCCAGCTACGACTCGTGCTAAACCCAGAGGCTGGCGAGTGCTACCTCACATGGACACCGTCGAGGAAGAAAAAGCCAAGGATCAATTTACGTGAGTGTCGCTTTATACGTGTTCAAGTAGGTTGATAAAAGGTTAACCTTGTTCTGGACGCACTGTGTAGACGACATCGAAGAGGTTATTGCAGTGCGAAAAGAAGGGAACCCGGAAGCTCCACGGTTGTCGAAGAAAGTGAGTTATCGTCGAGGTGTCATTCTCGTGTGTAAGAGTTATCACCGTGGACGGGTTGTCCTCGAAGTGGCCACTAAGAGAGAGCGAAATATCCTCTTGCAAGGATTCCAGCAGCTTCTAAGTGAAATGGCCTCGACGGAACCGACTCTGGATGTTCTTGGAGCGCTTCGCAATCAGCAACCACGGCGTCAGAGTGTAATGGAATTCTTTAGCACTACTGAAGAATCACAGGTACCTGCAGTGATCATCGTTCCCGACGTGTCGAGTTTGATGCCCAGAAGAGGCTCTATTGCTGTCTATCGTCCCGAAGCTCTAGGTGAGGACACCCCATCACTATCAGAAGACTCGAGAAAGGTACCAGTACAAGATCAAGAAGCACATGAGATGGCGGACTCTGTACGAGCAGATGCAAAGGCGATCGAGCATTTTTACCAGACTCGCTTCGATGATTCGCCCGACAGTGCACGGCCGAGCAGAGCCATGGAAGCCAGACACTAGGAGGAGTTAACAGTATGACAATTAACTTAATGCTTCTGACGCGTTAAAATAATCAAGGATGACAATCTTCTCTATTTTTCTAGTCGACCTTGGTAAACTTGGTATTTAGCGGGAAAGTCTTTCCATCTCGTTTCCGAAAGCTGGGGCTGTGCACCGGTACAAACCAGCACGGAAACTCGTGGAAAGTGCCGAAGACCTCCTGGAAGTTACGCACTATACCGACATTGTAGTAGTTGATATAGTCGGGGTCGTCTCGCTTCTCGCAGTACTCGAGTGTGCTGTAGTTGTTCGCTACGAAGTACAGATGCATCAGATAGAAGCACGCCAACGCCAGACCTAGACACGCGCTGCCGAAGAATACGCTCACAGTCTGCCAAGCAGTAGCAACAAATATTAGCAGCAGCTTTACCACCAAGACCCTGGCTCCTAAAACCAACCTGTAGGTGCAGATTGAACAGCCCTAGCTTGCCGAAGAAGTAGAGCGTTGCAGCTCGATCCAGACTCTCGACCAGTACGTAGCGGAAAATTAAACTGCTTTGATACAAGCACGTGGACGCGCTCCAGCCAAGGAACAACACGAAGAACTTGTAGTTAAAGAAGCCAATGCATCTGCAACACAAATGCAACGTTGCTCAACTTGCCGTCGTCCTCCAAACTTTTATATTATTGAGTACGTACTTGTTGATGTAGACACAGTGATGGTCCATCTTGAGTACGCAGCGTCTGCACGTGCTGCAGTGGTGGGTTCGATCTGGTTTCAGCGCACGGCACTTGCGGCAGGTGCGGATGGCGCCGTTCATCTTGGTTTCGACCAGCGCATCGTCGGGTTCGGCCGCTTGCAACTTGAGCTCATTGATCTTCTCCCTAGTCAGCGTTCGCCGCGGCAGGAACGAGTCGCCTGAACGCATCGTCTGAGCCAGCGACCAACACAGCAGGAACGTCATGATGTGGAAAAGCAGAAGTTCCCAGGGCGATGCGCCGGCCTCCAGCACGCGGCCTTGCGAATACACTACGAAGGACGAGTAGAGGTACACAATGACCCCAACGATAATGCATGGAAGAACGAAACGGAGAGGCTTAGGCGCTCTCCATTCACAGCAACACCCCATCGGACCTAGATAAAAGTTAGTCCTTGCGACTCGATGAAGTAAAATAAAAATACACGTGGACCACATCATATTCTTTAATTAAAGAACAATAATTTGCGATTGAATTGCCAAAAAGTCGCAAAAGTTGCTCTGCTGGACGTGCACCATGATTCCTCCCGTGAAGCAGGATCTTGCCACGATGGTAGCGATCGCGCCCACACCGTCCACACAACGTGCTGCTGCTAAGAAGAATACACATCAGAGCGACAACCAGTCGAATGCAGCTCTGGAGATCATCCAGCAGCCGCCCGAGACCTGGTACAAGGATCAATACGGTCGCAAGGCTACGTTCGAGCTCAAAGTGAAGCGCACGGCAATGTTTTGTGAAAAATGTGTTGAGCAGCGTATCCTGACGGTGCAGTTACTGTACGAGAGCGGGTATGTAGAGCGCAGTTCGCATATTCTAGCGGTAGACGGTAGAACTTACTTGTTCTTGCTGCGTAGAAAGGTGGTGGAGAAGCAGGAAATCCTGCACGTCATGTCTGGACAATGTTTAGACAAGAACAGACAGAGTGCGTTGGCGATCCGCATTGCAGAAGTGTCCAAGAACCATCTAAACCAGGTGACGGGAGAAGATACGGCAATGAATGTGTGGGTTGAGACTAACCAAAGTGATTATTCATGCAGAGGTTTCGCGTGGAGATCTCTGTGCCAAGATGCGCTAATGGATGTGACTACGAGACATCAGTGGTGTCAGATCCGGTGCTGGTGTTGTCCAAGAAGAAGAAGCGACCAGTGAAGCAGAACACAGAGACGGAAGCGTCATCAGCGACTGCAAAGAAACCAAGACGAGCGTCAGTGCAGGACACGCCGAAGCCGACACTGTCGAGCGATTCGCCCAGTAGTTCGCAGCCATCGACGACTACAATTACGGGCAATGTGACTGCGGTGATTGCCGAGATGGAGTCGATTCCACTGCCTTCAGATGATATGACAGCCCCGTTCACACCAGAGACACCGAATTTGTGCTTGTGGGCGAACGCAGCGTTTGATTTGCTTTACAAATTGCAGTGGCAGCGGGTACAGACAAGCGGAGCAGAGAAACCGGGTGCAAACCTTGATGAGATTTTGGCGCAAGCGTTGACGAAGACCTACAGATGTCCGTCGTGTCAGGAGACGTACAGACAGGTACCAACTCATCGAAATGACTGCGATCTGAAGCTGCTACTGGAGCAAGGTGGTAAGTAATTTATCCTTACAGTTGGTGGTGGGGATATCACTGATTTTCAATGTAATTTATGCAGGGAAAACCGAGACGACGACTGAAACAGATAATAACATTACAGCATCTCATTCACTACAATGGTCCTCGGACAAGCATGTGGAATGGACTGATCGATCGAAAGTAATGTACAGCGGCGGCGATCTTACGCCGAAGAAGCAGGCGTCTCCGTACAATCTCTCACAAGATATTCCAAAGCCGTCTGGGCCCGGAAGTGGAGATAATCAGACACCTTCAGATGGCTTTGCCTTTTCGGCAGCCGCTGCACATTTCAGCGTCAACACGTGGAAGGACTATGCATCGATATCCAAGCTACTTTACAGGTACGTCTTTGTATTCCATGTTGACGGCAAACGTATGCTAAAGTAATTAATACTCTCGATTTTGAACAGCGCTTCATACATCGACCCTAAGTCACCACAAGCAAGTGCTGCACTTAGTTCTACTGTACAGTGGACGGGTGTACTACCCCCAGTAGGTACACTATCTCCTGGTTTTCCCACTCTCCCCAGCGCGACGAAGAATCTTCCAGTGCAAGCTCAACAAAACACACCGCCCCAGCGATTTTCAGTATTGCTGGCAGCGACAAAAGGCATGCCCGCTGATGCGGCAGATCTCTTTCGAGAAAGCGAAGAAGCACTGCATGGAGATGGTAATATCGTAAGCTCGATGGACTCGATGAACCTGAGCGATTTCCTCCGCCCAAACCCCGGAGATAAAGACCAGCAGCCGCGGCATGGACCAATATCTTTGTCTGCGCTGCTACCAAGCGATCAGTTGGGAAATCCTGAAAAAGGTGTGCAAACAATTATGGCATACGACTTTCAAGGCTGCGGACTACCAGCGCTGGACGCCGATTTCAACCTGGTGGGATTTTATCACGTCTTAACTGAAACGGTAAGGGATTCTTGACGTTATTTCAAGAGTATGGCGTTGTTCTGATCACTGCTTGTCAATGATATTAACCCCTTAACAGAACAACAGTCCAGCTGAACTACGCTTTGGACCGCACCTGTTCCCATTGCCTGAAGAAATGCTCCAAGAGTTGACAAACACCATTGCAGAATGGAGGCAAAGCGCGTCAATTTGCCATCGGAGAGAATCAACCAACAGCAGACCAGAGGAATCGCTCGCCCGCTTGAAGAGTGCAGTGCTGCAACAAGTTACACGCTGTTGAGCCGGTAGCATTATGCGATTATTTATTTGACGCTGCAATAAAACAATTGTCAGAAAACGGGTCAAATCTATTGAAATATATTCTTAGTGAAAAATCAATTTTCGGTAACTTATCCGTCTTTTAATTATCCGGATAATGTCCTTACATAATTTGCATTTCGAGACTCAAACGACTCACCGCCGACACTAGCACCTTGCACCATGGGAAAACACGACTTCCTGACGCCCAAAGCCATCGGCATCCGCATGAAGGTGCGTCTCCTTCCTCTCTACACAGTCTTGCATCTCTATACCTGCTTCTCCCATCCACTTTCGCCCCGTACACTCTTCAAACCACTCATTTTTCGTATCATACCAACCTTTAGGCAAAAGGACTCCAGAAGCTCCGCTGGTTCTGCCAGGTGTGTCAAAAACAGTGTCGAGATGAAAATGGCTTCAAATGCCACACAACTTCCGAATCCCATCAACGACAAATGTTGATCGTTGCAAACAACCCGGACAAGTTCATGAGCGGCTACAGTGAAATGTTCGAGGAGGCCTTCCTCGAGAACTTGAGACGTCGCCACGGCACCAAGAGGATGCGAGCCACCCATGTGTACAATGAGTACATCCAGGATAAACTGCACGTCCACATGAACGCAACGCAGTGGACGACTCTCAGTGGCTTCGTGCAGTACTTGGGACGCACAGGCAAGTGCGTGGTGGATGAGACCGAGAAAGGCTGGTACATCCAATACATTGACAGGGATCCGAAGGCTATCGCGAGGCAAAAAGAACTGGAGAAAAAGAAGAAGGCAGAACTGGACCATGAAGAGAGGAACAAGCTGTTTATTAAGCGGCAACTACAAATTGCCAGTGGAAAAGAGGGCGCGGATACGCAGCAACAACCGACAAAGTTACAGCGAGGAGAGAACGGAGAGAAGATTAAAATGTCGCTGGGATTGAAGAGAGAATCTGCGAAGAAGGAGACTGTTGCGTTTACAGCGAAGGCTTCGAGTGTGTTTGGTCAGGGAGAGGAGGGGAGCGAAGAGGCTGAGTCGGAGGATAAACGTTCGAACAAGAGACACGCGGTGGATGCTATTATAGAGGAGAATGAGCGACGCAAGAGGGAGAAAAGTCGACAGCTGGAGGAGGAATCGAAGCGACAGAGGGAGGAGAACTGGGTCACTACTGGTATTGTGATCAAGGTGATGAACAAGAAGGTCGGTGACGGTGCGTACTACAAGTGCAAGGGAGTGGTGAAGGATGTGGAGGAGAAATTTTGTGCTACGGTGGAATTGTTGGATTCTGGAGACGTGCTACGACTTGATCAGGATGATCTGGAGACGGTCATCCCGAAACCAGGACGTAAGGTTAAGATAGTCAACGGACTTGGACGCGGCTGTACTGCGAAGTTACTAGACATCTCGGTTGATGACTTTTGCGCTCGCATCCGAATCGACTCTGGGTCGTATCGTGGAGAGATTTTAGATCGAGTAGAGTACGAAGACATTTGCAGACTAGCGGATGAATAACCAACAGCGCTGTTGAGAGGATTTTTCGCAAATTGAGTCGTGCACGATAAGCGCAACTGACGCCATGCGGTTGTTTTGACGGTTTTAGTCAGATTGGTAACAGCGAGTGTCTGGAAAAATATTCAAGTGAATAATATAACATCCGTCATTATCGGTGTATCCAACACTAGAGGATAGTGACTTAATTTGCTCGTACGCTCAGAATTAGCATGCTGGTAAAAAACGAAGTTTCAAAACATTCGAAAATAGAAGTATTGTAGAATACTAGCAGTAGTTGAAAAGTCTCGTAGCACCGGTTTGCGATTACATAGACTTCTCTTTGCTGCACCCAACGCTGGTAGAACCGTAACGTGTCGAAAATGAGTTAACAGTATTATGCTCAGTTCACGCACGGAATTCACGAACGAGTCATTAATCGTATTGCTAATACTGACATTTGTTATCGTGTTCTCTTTGAAATCGTTTTTTTATAAGGTCTGTAGGGCTTAATACTGGAGGACAGTTTTTTTTAGCTGGCTGAACAGCCAAACCAATATTACATCTGTCGGAACCCCCCCCCCCAGACTTTAACAGACACCCGTGACTGTTCTTCATTGCAGAAAAGCCAACCTGACTTTGTCCTCATCGCATCCAATCCAGTGTGGCCACCAGCGGCGGCCCATCACTGTTTTTTTTTTTTTTTTTGCAATCAATGGGGCATTGTAAACGCTCTAGATATTGTGCTTTGCATTCAGTTGCTCTTCTAGTTAGTGCACTAATTAGTGTTCGTACTTAGTGTCAAATCATGGAAGCTTTGAATGGGAGTTGCTCAAATCGTGTTTTCAGCACGGTTTAGCAGAAAATGGCACTTTTTGAAAGTGCCAAACTGATGCTTATTCCTGTTCGATGTGCTAAGTCGTGCATTAAATGCTTGACCGCACTACCAGGTGCCGGAAAGATGATGCATGATTTGTACTAAATCGTACTCGAGTACGATTTGCTAATAATTAGTAAGGGTATCTGTAACCAAATCACCGCAGTGAACCAAATCGCCGCACTATGCGATTTTGTTCCCGTTGGTAGCACGACCATACAAACTACAGTATATTTAGCCTCAACTTGTGCTTCAACCATGGAGTGTTAACAGGTATCCTTTGTGCGAAGCTATATTTGTCGTCCAGCAATCGATTCTAGCGTCCCCGCAGAGACTCGTACCGCAAAACCACTACTCTATTCCGAATCCAACGCTTCGGAAGAACATCATTTACCGTTTTGCGAGCCTTCGATCACCAATCACAGCCTCAAGATGCCGTCGATTCCTAAACGGAAGTCCTTCCCCGGCTCACTGAGCCTTCAAAATGAGGAGACAACAAGGAAGAAATGGACGGAGATGGACTTACGCGCTGCTCTAGCTGCTGTCACCTCCAATGGTCCCGAGCGACTCTCCAAGCGGGCGGCCGAACGGGTATTTGGTGTTTCGGCCAAGGCCATCGGTAGGTACTTGGCCGGACAGCAAATCGGAGTCAAACCAGGTCGAACAAGTGCTCTTCGAGATGTTGAAGAAGATGCCCTCGTCGAAGGGCTTCTGGACAGAGCTCGACGAGGCTTTCCTGCAACACGACTTCACCTCAAAGCCATTGTTCTCGATGCTATCAGCGATGGAAGAGCACATCAATTCGGACCGTATGGACCCTCGACCAAGTGGATCTCTTCGTTTCTGAGCCGCCACTCGACTAGACTCACCGTCCGCAAGGCTAGAATTCTTGATAGTGCGCGGGTGAACGCGACTGAAAGGTCTGAGATTGAGTACTTTTTTGCTGAGTATTCAGACTTTATAAAGAATCATCCAATTACTCCAGCTCAAGTATACAACTGTGACGAGACTGGTGTAGACCCTCAAGGTGGAGCCCCCACGAAGGTCATCACGAAAAAAGGTGCAAAGAGTGTTGCGGTTCAAATTGGCCAGGATCGAGAAAACACTACCGTCCATCGCCGTCCAAAACCCACTGCCACTTGAAGAAATTGAAGAGCAAGGGTTGCGGCGCCTCAAAAACAACGGTCTAGATGTACACGGCTTTCGAATGTACTCAATCGCGTATAGGGACCTCGTAAAGCCAACCCCAATTAAAGGAAGATCTCCAAACAAAGTGGTCGTCAAGCTTGGAGCTAAGAGGCTGCTTACGCACGCAGACTGTATTGCCGAAGAAGAACGCAGAGCCGAACTCACACGTGAGTCCATCGAGACCTCGCTAATGAAGTTTGAAGATTCATGCAGCAAAAAACGTGAGAAAGAGCACCGTAAACGCAAAACAACGTTGAGAAAGGGGAGAAACGAAGATTAAGCGAGAACCGAAAGCTCATGCAGTTGGAAGACAAAGCCACTAGACGTGTCATGGCAGCTGAAAGACGTTTGCTCACAGCCAAGTTGAAGGAAGACAAACGCGAAGCCACTGAACAGCGCCGAAAAATGCCCAAGAGAGAAAAGAAGCTGGAGAGCGAGATAAAGAGGCAAGGCGGATGGTCCGGCTCCAGAACGAAGAGCTGCGAGGTAAGAAGTCAGCAAAAAGGGCCAAGATGTAGATACTTTTTGTATGAAATTAGTTGTACCATACGGTGCGGCGATTTGACTCGGTCTGTCGCCGGGGCCGAAAATAAACAGCAACGTTTTGAGCTTGACATATTGACGTCAATTCGACGCGGATCCAGACTTCCTGCACACCAGGAGAACGAGGAGATCACTGGCTTTTACCAGATATACTTAGATCCCGGTGAAACCAATTATTTACATCAAATCGACTATTTTTGTGGAATAGTGCGGCGATTTGATTACACATACCCTTACTTGATAAGTCGTACGAATTACAATCGAAAGTGCCAAAAAAAAAAAAAGTCTGCAAAGCACAATATATTTCAATTATTGAGAGGCGAAGCGAAATGAAAAAAATTGTGTGCGACACATCGCTTCTTCAGACAAATTTGCGAAACCCGCCAGTCACAACATGATTGTGTTCGTTTAGTCAACGTATGAGGACTATGGGCTCAGGCGACATTTGCGAATGAAAGTCTGGGGGTTCCTCCCGACAACAGTAATAACATTGGTTAGGCTGTTCAGCCAGCTAAAACTGTCCTCCTAGTAAAAAATGTACAAGTATTATATTATTAGTAATTACCGGCACAATAAATTACTTACGTTGCGTCTGTAGAATAAGGATTCTTCGTTATCCCATTAGATCTAGTTTTGCACTAAACATTTTCATGTTTCAAACCACTACATTATCCCAACATCTAATGTTCTTAATTCCTGAAACTAAGTTCTCGAATAGATAACGTTTTGTTTAACTCTTGATGTAGCAGAAGCATTCGTTATAACATGACTAAAGTTCTCAAGGCAAAAAATAATTCACAACAATATAGCATTATAATATTATATTATTTTTCATTGAAAAGTTCTTAAATCCAAAAATAATACATTACCTCGAAATATAATTTAATATTATTGAAAAAATGTCGACTTGAGAACTTTAGTCATGTTATGATGAAGTTATTTGCGTTACGCGGCAAGTTAGAAGCCGCCTCAAACTCAAGAAGTCACGCTTTTTGGGAAGGGGTTGGAAGCGCCGATTGTACTTCTAAGTGCTTCCTCAAATTACAGTCGATTCCATCTAGGAATAATGTAAGTGCTAACAGTTTTCACATAGTTTTGACTGCTGAAGAGCCCATAAACGAATGTAAAATGGAAATACCTGTTCAAAACACGTATAGGACTATTATAATCTGTATCCTTTCATTACGAGAGTGCATGCGACTGCCATGGAAAACTAGTTGTAGATTAAAAAAGCACAGTTAATTTGTTAAATAGACTTTTAAAGTATAGGTTTATTTAGCGATAACAGGCCTTGTCAAACTAAAACTACAATAAAACCGTACTGAAATCACGACTGGTGATCGAATCGATACTGTAAAGTGTACATATGCAAGCTCTATTGAATACGCTTATCGTAATCTATCGACTCGGATTGGAGAGCAATGTGGAAGGGCAAATAGTAGACGAGCACCATCCCTCAAATTAAACCCTTTCGTCTTGTTGCATCGGAGTAAAAGAACCGGCGCTGAATCATGGGCTCGGCCGAGCACCCCAATGTCTCTACAAATGTATGAGCAAAGTCTTTCCCCAGAGATCCTTACAATATCACGACGCATGGATGGCGTTTTAATCGCAGCAGACCAATTCGATCATCAAAGCTCCACCTGTAGAACGGGAGCGGCGAAAACTTCATCACACTTCCACATTTGCCTTCAAGGGATCAAGTCTCCAACTTCGACTTCCAGCCACAAGGACAAATCATGGTTGCTTCGGTCTCCGGTGCCAGTCGCACGATTATCGCTCTTTGCTCCCTTATCGCTGCCCAGGGTGGTTTGGCCGCTGCTGGTGGCGGTGCTGTTGTCGGTGGTGCTTCCCAGGCTGACATCGGTTCGTGCCTCGACAAGGCTGGCGTTGAAACCTCGCTGCCCACCACTTCCACCTGGGCCGTTGACACTGAGGCCTGGAACTCGCGTGTGAGCCCCGTGCCTTCTGTTGTCGCTTTCCCTAAGACGGAGGAGGAGGTTTCGGCCACACTGAAATGCGCTGCGAAGGCTGGTGTTAAGGTGACTACGCTAGGTGGCAACCGTTCATTCTCGAGTATGGGCTTTGGTCGTGACGATGGCGCCCTTGTTGTTAACCTGAAATACTTGAAGCACCTTGAGTATGACGAGAAAACCGGGCTGCTGTCATACGGTGGCCCCGTTATGATCTCGGAGGCTGCCAACTACATGTGGAGCAACTTCAGCCGCACGCTTCCTCACGGCCGTTGCCCCGATGTCGGTATGACTGGTGTGGCTGCTTCGGGTTTCGGTACTCTGTCTCGTTCTAGCGGCACTGTGCTGGACAACATTGAGTCCGTCCGTGTGGCTCTTGCCAACGGCTCCATCGTGGACGCCGACGCCAAGCAGAACTCGGATCTGTTCTGGGGTGTGCGTGGTGCCGCCAGCTCGATGGGTGTGGTGCTTGACTTCAAGATCAAGACGTACGAGCCTCCTTCGGAGCGTGTGACGAACTACACTATCGAGTTCAACTCGAGCTACAAGCCGACTCAACAGGACAACGTTGACGCGCTTGTCGGCACCCAGGAATGGGCTCTAAGCAAGGACAACAACGACCTGGTGTCTATCCGTTTCGGCATTAAAACCTCGTCTGAACTGAAGGGTTTCTTCTACGGCGGTGGCGCTGAGGCTAAGACCGTGCTGGGCTCCCTCATGAAGTACTTGCCTCCTAACATGATGCTCAAGACCGACGAGAACGACTTCTGGGCTTCTGAGGACATCACAACTCCTGGTCTCTTCAAGGAGACACTTACTCCCCGTCGTTACTTCTACATCACATCGGTGACGCTGCCCAGCTCGTCCCCGCTTGACAACACTACGGCCTGGGAGCTGTTCACTAACACCGCCTACGCCCCTAAGCTTCCGGACGCCAAGGCTTCTGGCTTCGTCGACATCTGGGGTGGCAAGTACGCCAAGGGTGTGAAGGCTGACGCCTCGGCATGGAAGCACGATGACAACCTGCACCTGGTTCGTTGGGACATGCGCTCGTCTGAATTCAACGTCTCGTTCGCCGACAGCACGTTGACCACCATGCGTGATGGTTTCTATAAGTTCGTGGACGCTTACAAGGCCTCGGGTGGTGTGCCCGGTGGCTTCACGACGTACCGTGACGAGAAGTGGACGGTGCCGGAGATGGCTGAGTTCCTGTACGGCGGCGGTAACTTCAAGAAGCTGCAGAAGATCAAGACGGCGTATGACCCGAACGAGATGTTCAACACGGACCCTCAGGCCATCCCTGCTCTGGCTGCTTAGACGATTCTCTGATTGAGATTGTATGCATGTATCTAGTGAGTATCGGAGCCTTAAAATGAAGAAGGAGTCACTCTGGTGGTCTCGCATTGTGAATTGTTAGAAGAACCTTTCCTGTGTTTCTACAAATAATTCGAAGCATAATACTTTTAGTAGCAAGAGAAAAAATAAAAAAAATACTACTGTAGGTATCACATTTAACACCGAGAGTTTTTTTTTAATTTACCGAAATACTTTTTGATTTGGGAGTTTACGATTTGAAAGCTCTGTCAGAAATGGGTCATTTTCCAAGATCAAAATATTTACAATCATATAATTTGGAATAAGATTCAAACTCATGATTTTTGATTTTATCTGGATAATCCGTCACACGTATTCTAAGCCTGGTGTTGGTCAAAAGCAAGGTTTGTACATATCCTAGCAAGCGTCTCCTCTGTCGATAAGAAATCGTTAACAACGACACATGGTGCACATACTGAAATGACCAATACTTCCTTAGTATTTGACATGCTTCCAAATCTGATGCCAGAAGCCAAATCAGCAGGAAATGGACCACAGTTCCCACACCGCCCCACATCTAAAATCTTCATCCCAGTGGGAAGATTTTGAGAGACGCCTACGAAACTTAGAAATCCGGTCCGTCGATTCTTACTTATGCATTGGAATTTTGATTGTTTTCTTCGTAAGAAGTTCATTCTGAGCTCCCGCAAGAGATCTCGCGGGGTGCCCTGCGTAAGATGACAATAAACTTCAGAGCACCTTTTCAACCAGGGAATGACTTCATGCACGGTATTTTACAGTTGCGGAACGGAACCCTGAGCTCCAATCGCATTTCAGTGGCCTGCAATTTTGTTTATCGAGTGCGGAATAGATTAGCACGAACGGGATACGAAGGCGCGTGCAGTATTTCAACTTGTCTTTTCCGAATGGATAGTTGTACGAGGCAATAACGAATCCGTTCATTCGATGGTCTGGAGCAGGTCCCAAAGTCTGACTCGAGAGGAGAAACGTTTATTCCTCGAGTGCTCAAATCATGGCAACACACTGTTAGCGCATTCAAATAAATAAGACAAGTCGAGCTGGAGATTAAAACAAACATTGTTAACGACCTTGTCCGAACCTGACGGCTACGACGGTCGACTTAAGCTTCATGGCGCTTACTTACAAGGTGGGTATTAACAGTAAATTGCAAATTCCCTTGTCTATTCAAGTTCCTAGTGGCTTGTAAGCATTTCAATACATATTTACTAACTGTACTTGTATTCCCACACCGTCCCACTTCTAATATCAGTTTTCATACCACTAACGGATATTTCAGAACAATACCCGGGGTACTATTTAATAGTACCCTTTCGATTCGCAAAAAGGTTACTCTGTATTCACAAAAGGTTACACTTTGTCATTGCGTCGTACGCGTCGATTAAAGCGATATCATCGAGATCATCATGAAGCTCGTCGAGGTTGAAGCCGACGTCTTCCTCCTGGCTTTCACCACGGGCTTCCCACTTTGCACGGAACTAACATCGTGGCATGAAACGTGCTATTCCATCCAATTCCCGGCCGTGGCAGCTTCCGAAGTTAATGTTACTAAGAGGTTACGTTGGGAGGGTGCTATTCGGGTACCGGATATTAATCGGGGATTTCCGTTAAAAATGCACTTTATAAGCTTGACAGTGGGAAATGTGGCGATTAGAGAGTTCTCATAAAATGCGGTAATTTAAAAAAAAAAGGATTATAGGTGTCAAAAATAATAATTTATTTTACTTCTCTCCCTACTGATACAGTAATATGTACTTGGAAAACTGAAACAAAACACAAGAAAATTCTTTTAACAATTCACAATGCGAGACCACCAGAGTGACTCCTTCTTCATTTTAAGGCTCCGATACTCACTAGATACATGCATACAATCTCAATCAGAGAATCGTCTAAGCAGCCAGAGCAGGGATGGCCTGAGGGTCCGTGTTGAACATCTCGTTCGGGTCATACGCCGTCTTGATCTTCTGCAGCTTCTTGAAGTTACCGCCGCCGTACAGGAACTCAGCCATCTCCGGCACCGTCCACTTCTCGTCACGGTACGTCGTGAAGCCACCGGGCACACCACCCGAAGCCCTGTAAGCGTCCACGAACTTGTAGAAGCCCTCACGCATGGTAGTCATCGAGCTGTCGGCGAACGAGACATTGAACGCAGACGAGCGCATGTCCCAACGAACCAGGTGCAGGTTGTCGTCGTGCTTCCATGCCGAGGCGTCAGCCTTCACACCCTTGGCGTACTTGCCACCCCAGATGTCGACGAAGCCAGAGGCCGAAGCGTCCGGAAGCTTAGGGGCGTAGGCGGTGTTGGAGAACAGCTCCCAGGCCGTAGTGTTTTCAAGCGGGGTCGAGCTGGGCAGCGTCACCGATGCGATGTAGAAATAACGACGAGGGGTGAGAGTCTGCGCCACAATACCGGGGGTCGAGATGCTCTCCGAAGCCCAGAAGTCGTTCTCAGTGGTGGTCAGAACCATCGAAGACGGGAGGTTCTTCATCAGCGAGCCAAGCACGGTCTTAGCCTCAGCGCCACCGCCGTAGAAGAAACCCTGCAGCGAAGACTTGGTCTTGAGGCTGAAGCGAATGGAGACCAGGTCGTTGTTGTCTTCGCTCAGAGCCCATTTTTGGGTACCGACAAGCGCGTCAACGTTGTCCTGTTGAGTCGGCTTGTAGCTCGAGTTGAACTCGATAGTGTAGTTCGTCACACGCTCCGAAGGAGGCTCGTACGTCTTGATCTTGAAGTCAAGCACCACACCCATCGAGCTGGCGGCACCACGCACACCCCAGAACAGATCCGAGTTCTGCTTGGCGTCGGCGTCCACGATGGAGCCGTTGGCAAGAGCCACACGGACGGACTCAATGTTGTCCAGCACAGTGCCGCTAGAACGAGACAGAGTACCGAAACCCGAAGCAGCCACACCCGTCATACCGACATCGGGGCAACGGCCGTGAGGAAGCGTGCGCTTGTACTTGTTCCACATGTGGTTGGCAGCCTCCGAGATCATAACGGGGCCACCGTACGACAGGAGCTGCGTGGACTCGTCGTACTCGAGGTGCTTCAAACCCTTCAGGTTAATGACCAGAGCGCCATCGTTGCGACCGAAACCCATGCTGGAGAACGAACGGTTGCCACCAAGCGTAGTCACCTTAACACCGGCATCAGCGGCGCATTTCAGAGCAGCCGAGACCTCCTCCTCCGTCTTGGGGAAGGCGACAGCAGAAGGCTTGGGGCTCACACGCGAGTTCCAAGCCTCAGTGTCCACAGCCCATGTGGAAGTGGTGGGCACCGAGTTCTCAACACCGGCCTTGGCCAAGCACGAACCAATGTCGGCCGTTTGGGCAGCAGCAAAGCCACCCTGGGCAGCGATAAGAGAGCAGAGAGCGAAGATCGCGCGACTAGCGCCAGAGACTGAAGCAACCATGTTTTGCCTTGTACTGTGTGAGACTTGAGTGCTAGAAGGCAAATGTGGAAGTGACCAACTGATTAATTAGAGGAGCACCATATCCATGGGTGTCGGCCAAAACGCTCTACTGCAACGTAACTCCACATAGGATCCCAGCAATCGTGAAATTGTCTATTACGGCCATTTGAAAAGCATGGGCAGATAGCGTGCTACCAGGTGGGAGCCAAGCCTTGTGATTGTGAAACCATGTCTCGCTGTGAGACCTTGGCAAAAAAGACAGTGGCAACGCGACGAACGATTGCCATTGTTATTTTTGAGTCGAGTCCTTTTGGCTTGGGAGTGCTGTTCTTCACGATCCCCTACTTCTAATCTCAATTTGTTTTCCAAACGCATGGCCGGCAGGCAGCAGACGGTTTACGGCTAGATATTGTATCTAAAATGGCACGAGGGTACATGTAATTGAAAGCAGGTGCCATACCAGCGGTAGCTCCAAAGTTTTGTAAAAAAAAAAAAAAAGGAGTTGGTTCGACCACCTTATTTCGAGCCATTACAGACTTGAGGCAGATGATAGATTAATTTTTCTGGGGTGGCCGTTAATCCAGCATTACTGCGGCTTTGGTGGTCGTCTGTGTAATAGTTCTGGTGACCACGTTCAGTTCCCTTAATACAGATGAAATCCAAAACTTGAATCGGTCGCCATAGTCCAGAAGAAGGAACGAACGCAGGATAGGCAAACGCGCGTGTTTTTTTGTAGTTTGTGACAAAATACTTGTCAGGTTGGATGCCGTTCGCGCTATGTAGCAGTACTGTACTGGCCAGTATGGCAAGTTGTCATTGCCAACTTGGCAACGCCAACTAGCAAAAATGCTTGACAGGCAACGGTTCGACGATCGTCCAGCAGGTGGTTTAAGCTAATGTTGCTGAACCGGGTTGTGATTTGATTCAACGCGCGATAGGAGCTGGCAAACAATCATCCGGCGACAACCTGGTTTTGTGAACTGTCAAGGTGAACGACATCGCCGATGTCACATCGGTACAGTGCATCCATCCACATGCTGTTCCCCATAGACAAATGGTGGAATAGCGGAGGAATCTGCCCAACGTCAAGTGGATCTTGTCATTGAAGAGGAGCAGGCAAAATAGTTACTTCGAAGTATTTTAATACTTTTTAAAAATAATACAAATACTATTATAGAAACATCGTCAATGATGCCGAATAAAAATACGAGTACTTTAGAGACTGCCTAAAATTTGATGATCGGGTCTCTAATAAAGTTTGTGGATTTGTTTGAATTTTGGTTTTCGGCGTCAAGTCTAGTCTGCCTTTCTGTGTGTACGAATTGCTCTCATCTTTGCACTTTGTCGCTCTCACTCGTTGACTATTGCTGGGATGCCTTACCTTTGGCTTAATGTAAATATTATAGTTTTAGTACGTTCAAAGTATGCTACAATTCGGTTGTATACAGTAAAATAAGCTAAATGCAGCATCTTCTTTGAAGAAAAGATTAAAACTAGTGCGGCTGTGTAAGATCGATCGCCTCAGGCTGAGACTCTAAGAAAAAAATATATTGTGAAATTGACCATAAAAATAAGGCTTAAAAACAAGCATCAACTTGGTAGATCGATGAATATTTTCTATTCACAACGCTCGTACTACATCTATATTGTAAGTAAGACAAATCTTCTAAATTGAAGAGCAAAGTTGGTCCCTAGATCATCTAAGCAGCCAGAGCAGGAATGGCCTGAGGGTCCGTGTTGAACATCTCGTTCGGGTCATACGCCGTCTTGATCTTCTGCAGCTTCTTGAAGTTACCCCCGCCGTACAGGTACTCAGCCATCTCCGGCACCGTCCACTTCTCGTCACGGTACGTCGTGAAGCCACCGGGCACACCACCCGAAGCCTTATAAGCGTCCACGAACTTGTAGAAGTTTCCACGCATGGTGGTCATCGTGCTGTCGGCGAACGAGACGTTGAACGCAGACGAGCGCATGTCCCAACGAACCAGGTGCAGGTTGTCATCGTGCTTCCATGCCGAGGCGTCAGCCTTCACACCCTTGGCGTACTTGCCACCCCAGATGTCGACGAAGCCAGAGGCCGAAGCGTCCGGGAGCTTAGGAGCGAAGGCAGTGTTGGAGAACAGCTCCCAGGCCGTCGCATTGTTCAGCGGGGTCTTACGGGGGATCGTCACCGAGGTAATGTAGAAGAAACGACGAGGGGTGAGAGTCTGCGCCACAATACCGGGGGTCGAGATGCTCTCCGAAGCCCAGAAATCGCTCTCATTGGTGGTCAGAACCATGGAAGGGGGCAGGTTCTTCATGAGCGAAGCAAACACCTTGGTGGCCTTCTTGGACGAGCCGTAGAAGAATCCCTGCAAAGTAGACTTGGTCTTAAGACTGAAGCGGATAGACACTAGGTCGTTGTTGTCCTTGCTCAAAGCCCACTTCTGGGTGCCGATAAGAGCGTCAACGTTGTCCTGCTGAGTGGGCTTGTCGCTCGAGTTGAACTCGATAGTGTAGTTAACCACACGCTGCGACGGGGCTTCCATGGTCTTGATCTTGAAGTCAAGCACCACACCCATCGAGCTGGCGGCACCACGCACACCCCAGAACAGATCCGAGTTCTGCTTGGCGTCGGCGTCCACGATGGAACCGTTGGCAAGAGCCACACGGACGGACACAATGTTGTCCAGCACAGTGCCGCTAGAACGAGACAGAGTACCAAAACCCGAAGCAGCCACACCAGTCATACCGACATCGGGGCAACGGCCGTGAGGAAGAGTGCGGCTGAAGTTGCTCCACATGTAGTTGGCAGCCTCCGAGATCATAACGGGGCCACCGTACGACAGGAGCTTGGTTTTCTCGTCATACTTGAGGTGCTTCAAGTACTTCAAGTTCATGATGAGAGCACCGTCGTCACGGCCGAAACCCATACTGGAGAACGAACGGTTGCCACCAAGCGTAGTCACCTTAAGACCAGCATCAGCGGCACACTTCAACGCGGCCGAAACCTCCTCCTCCGTCTTGGGGTAGGCGACAGCAGAAGGTACAGGGCTCACACGCGAGTTCCAGGCCTCGGTATCAACGGCCCACGTCGAAGTGGTGGGCAACGAGGTCTCAATGCCAGCCTTTTCAAGGCACGAACCGATTTCGATCTGGGCACCACCAGCAGCGGCAACACCACCCTGGACAGCGATGAGGGAGCAGAGAGCGAAGATCGCGCGACTAGCGCTGGAGACTGAAGCGACCATGTTTTGATCTCGTGACTGAAAGTCGAGGTTGGAGACTTGAGTACTTGAAAGCAAATGTGGAAGTGATTAACGTGACGCTCCGCGGTCCTTGGAGAGAGACACCTCTCTCCAAGGTGTTCCGCCGGAGCAAAGCAGTCCTAGGTAATCATCGTATGTGATCCAGCAATCGCAACATTGTAGGGATCTTTATTATACGAACAGCATGACACCACCATTCCCACCTGGGTTTGTGAAACCATTCTTTTCACCGCAATTAGACGAAAGTGTTCGACCAACACAAGACATTTTTAATCTTTGATTCCCATCACAGATTGTTTTCCAAACGCATGGCCACCAGGCACCAGCCGATAGATGTTTACGGTGGGGGCGCTGGCAAACGATTCCTTTTGCTGCTTGTGACTGAGTCACTGACTCTCGGTCTTCTTGACATTTGCTCACTTTAGTATCGACTGACGGGCTGCATCAAAAGCAGGTGCTGGGAACCACCGGGATTTTGCGGTCGGTATGGATACCTCATATCTCAATCGACAGAGTTTGAAGAACAGCTTGTTGGACCGCCAATGTGATACCTAGATTAGTTCTCTGGTGTCGATCCAGCATTACTGCGCTTTGGTGGTCGTTTCTTAAAAAGTTGTGGTGATCACCATGATACGGAGAAGTAACCTTCAAACCCGTTCCAAACTGGGGATCATAATAAAAGTTGATCTATTATAGTAATATCAAATTGTGCTTATATTTTAAAAAGCGAACATGCGGGGCATGAACGCAGGAGATATGATATTTATACTGCGTTTTTGGCCAGCTTAGAATATAATTCAAATTCTGGGATGGGCTAATAACTTCTACAAAATTTCTTGTTCCATAACGGCTTGAAAATAGTTTACTCATAGTAAATTACCACTAATTTATTTTTTAAAAAAATCCCTTTTATTTAAAGTAATTTATGATCAGTAAACTATTGGTAATATTTTACCTTAACAATTATATTGTATTTTCAATTGTCGATACCAGTATGTACGTACTGGCACCGACAATTGAAAATACTAAATTAACATACTTACTGAAAACGCCCAATTTGCACAATACCATCTTCCAGACAAATGCTTGGGAATCCCAAGTTGGGATCGCCCAAAGAATTGAAGTGGGCTGAACGCACCATCGGCCACTGAAGCGGAGAATTGCAGAGTATAATGGTCTTGGATAAATAAGACCCCACTCCATCGATCAAAGGCGTCTTTGTCACGACCTGATTGTGCTGTTGTCGTACGAGGCAAGGCACTCTCTGCTCTTGGCACACACCAGTCGTTGGCAAGGAAATTACAAACAAATCAATTGGAAAAGCATTGACCAGGTTAGCGAGCACTTCGTCACTCGCCATCTTGATACATTCAATGTATTACATTGATCGACGGCAATCACATCGCCAATACTGCCGACTTTAAATACAAAAGCACGCACTATCGTCAACTGCATTCACTGGTGCTGCTCCTTCTCCTCCTTGTGCTCGCTCGAAGGTGCTTCCTCTTTGTCTGAAAGCTGCGATTCTTGCTCCTGCTTCTGTTCCCCTGTCTGATCTTGGTTCTGCATCGACTCGTCAGGTTCTTGCTGTTCAGCGTCACCTGCCATCTCCTCGTCTTCGTCCGTACGCAGCATTTTGAGCTCAGGCTCCTTAGCCGATTGTGCCCGACGGAGCTCCTTAACCTTGTTAGTCAGCGCCTGCACACGACGCAATAACCCCAGATCTTCACGAAGCACTGTCGTGTCCACATGCTGCATCAAGTACACAACATTAGTTCGCCTGTAGTACATCCACCCCCAGCTAAAACGACCGCACCTCCTCCTCAAGAGACTTCAGCAGTTCCTTGTACTCTTCAACGTCTCCTTCTTCCTCCTTTTCCACCTCCTTTTTCACTGCATAGCTCTCCTCGGGCGCTGGCGGCAGATTCTCCACCAGTCCCTCAATCTGCTCGTACAGTTGCTGGTGCTCCAACGCCACGTACTCGTTGTACGTGCGCTTCTTAAGGTGTTTCTCCAGTGCTTGCTTCACCTTCTCCACGTCTTTAACATGCACGAATCCGTGGCCCCAGGGGTACACTACCGTGCAGATGCCGTCTTCGCGACGGTACCCCCTCAAGTACCCCGCTCCAGCAGGTGTAGCCACCAGGTCGTCCAGCCGCATGCCGTTCACGACATGTTCTTTCCTAAGTACGAAGCCGTCGATAGGCTCGGCGATCCAGCAGCGTAAGCACTCAGCCACCTTCTCCTTAAGTTGCAGTGCAAGTAATGGCCGAGTCGCGCTCTCCTTGTCTTCGTCGCGTAACTTCGTTATCAGTGGACGTAACTTGGTTTCCAGTTGGCTCCTAGTTGCTGCAGGGAGGGGCATCTTAAGTGCTTGTGTCACGGTCGCGAGTAGCTTGTTACACTTGCAACTGGGCACCAGTGCTGCTGCCTGTAACAAGTGTAAACAACGCGCATCTTGTTGCTCATAGGTGTGGCATACAGGGCGCAACAACGGTAGCAATAGGCTGGAGCGGGTAGGCACCGAGAATATCAGTGTATTGGCGTCGCGGGCCTTGCGGAAACGGGCCTCCCGCGTCGAGAACTTGGGCAGCGACGGCTGCAGCGCCGGAGTACTGGCAGCAAGTTGCGCGGCCCCGAACATTTTGGAAAATGTTACAACGGCGACTTCACTGGAATAAATTAAGGCTTAGTATAGTCAAGTTTAGAGAGACAGACTGTCACTCTATCGGATGAGTGACGCTGATACGATGTCATTATTTCGGTTGGGTAGTGACTTCCTTGATGTCCATACGCTGATGATCAAATAGCGATGCTGTCTGCCAATGCTCGACGTGTGTGGACGCTGGTACGCACCCCATGCGGCGCCGCCTCCTTTGCCAGCAAAAGGAGGAGCCGAAGCACCAGTGGCAACGCCGCAATTTCGCCCGCTGGTCAGAAGCAGCGCCAGCAGCTGAACCGCCTTCGATCGGCGCTGGCCACCAAGACGCTTCAGGAGATGCCACTACCCACCGCCTCCGTAAAGAAACCCGTACAAACTGTTGAGCCGCTGGACGCCGGTGCCAAAAAGCGTCAGAAGCAATTCGCGCATATGCTACGACGGAAAGAGGCGAAAGACGCTCGCGTCAAGCACCTGCCGCTGTTCCGCGAGGGCTCAGCGTTATTCCAGCGTTTCGGGGAGAGGACACTGGGCGACTATGACAACCTCCCAACCACCAGCTTTGATGGGCCCATCGCAGTCATCCACTCGGAGCAGGAGGAGCTGGAACATGCAGAATATCTTAGGGAGCAGAAGGTCGTGGGCGTCGATACCGAGGCCAGGCCGGACTTTCACCCGCTCAAGGGGGCGAAGGGCAACCCCGTGTGCTTGATCCAGATTAGCACACTGGAACGGGCGTTCCTGTATAGATTACAACGAGGCAAACCGCTTCCTCCGGTGCTACAGGGGCTGTTCATTGACCCTGAAGTATTGAAAGTCGGTCACTCGCTGAGCGACGATTTCCGTCAATTGAAGTCGTCGGAGCTCGTGCAGGCAGTGAACTCGACGATAGACACGCTGTATATCACACACAAACTTGGATGCAAGCGACCGGGACTTAAAACGGCGTGTCAAGTGTTTCTTGGAGGTTCACTGGATAAAGAGATGCAAGTGTCGGACTGGGAAGCGCCTGCTCTGAGTGACGCACAGATCAGCTACGCGGCTACAGATGCATGGGCACCACTGAGAGGTAAGTTATTGTAGCGATATGAGAGGATGCAGTGTGGTACTTACAATATGTGCAGTTTTGTTGGCGATGATTCAATTGAAGGATACGAAGGAATTGTTACGGACAAAGAGCTACAACTCGTCAGCGCAGACGATTATCAACGAGAACCATGACGTTTTACTTGGTAAACTGCTATCGTTTGCGCTTCGTCACCAGGTACCTAAGTTGAAGTAGCCTGAGATCGAATAGAATTTGTGTTTACAGTTTTCATTCCCACATATACCCAACGTACTGAAGCAGTTCGTTGAGCACGACCTGCTCCAATAGTTGAGCTGTGATGTATCACCCTCGCGTAAGAGCGGCTGCTGAAGCAACTCCGGTGCCGACACATGAGTGTTTGGATTCTTGTCGAAACACAACAACAAGAAGTCGTGTGCTGTGGCCAACATGTGATCCGGGTGCTCTGAAGTAGTGATCGCAGAATGTGGATCATGGCAGTTCCAATCGATCAAATGGGTTCACAATTTCGATAAGGGATGCAAGTACACTGACATAAGACACTCGAATAAGGCACACATTTTGTCACGGTTGCTTGATGCAGGCTATCCAAATCAATAACGCAAAATTATTGAGTTGGTCTGAATCGCTAACTCAGTTGCTGGAAATTCAAGTCAAGCATGACATGCCCTCTGCTTCTAGCAAACTTGGGATCCATCGAACGGAGTAATCTCATAGTTGACTCCAATGACCATGATCTCTGCCTTGCAATTCTGGAACGTTTGATCAGCACTACTCTGAGTAGCGCGCAGTTCCGAAGAAACGGCACGCACAACTCTCCTCTCAAAAATCTTGTGTGCTCACTGGAAAGCTGAACGTTTAAGACGTCTGCTGCAAGTTTGTCCACGAGCGCGATGAAGTAGAAGGGATCGAAAGAATGATCCGCGTCAGTAGAACAAGACACACCAGTTTTTCTCCTTTGTTCACCAAAACAGCGTCGTACCCGCCCCGATTCCACGTAGCTGGGGCCATCCATGTCGGATCGTCCAGAAAACCGCTGACTATATACTTATCGGGATTGAAGAAAACAATATATGCCTGACGTTGCTATTAGCGTGCGCGATTCCTCGCTGTTTGAGAATAATCACAAAACAGTCGTATTTACTTGAGTGCTCGCCTCACGAAGTTAAGTTGCTGTGGTATGTTCTTCTCCAAAATTTTGAAAACCACACCTTGAAATCTAGATGGGTAAACTTGAGACCAAATAGATCATGCATTGTGTATTGCACAGTTCGTGTCGCCTATTTATTGATAAGCAGACGCAGCGTAGTAGATCGGATATCAACTCTTGACGAAACTCCAGTCAGTCGCATTCACCGTCGTTGCGTAAGAAAGGATGCTGGAGCAACTCCGTCGCCGTTGCACGAGTGTTTGGATTCTTATCGAAACACAACAACAAGAAGTCGTGTGCTGTGGGCGACAGGTGGGCCGGGAACTCTGGGATTGTCGTCACGGAGGCGATGTGGAACATGGCGGTGAGTGGGTTCGACAGGTTTTCCTGCAATTTGCGGATCAGCAGTATTTAAGTACGCATATAGAAGTTATCGAACCATAATAGCAAGCCTATATCACGTGCACCTCGGCACAAGCTTACCCACGGAGGCCTCCCCGTTGCCATTTCAATCACGATGCATCCAATTCCCCAGATATCCGCCTTACGCCAGGAATCCGCTCCTTTTTCAGCACGAACGATCTCTGGTGCCATCCAAAACGGCGACCCCAAGCCTTCACGCACTGATCTAAACGATTAAGCCAACTCAGCACTAACCGCCGCAGGGATGACAGCAACCGCAACGCACCTTGCTGTCTCCATCGACTTCTCCTGTGCTCCCTCCTCTGCAATAACTCCACCCAGTTCTTCCTCAACCGCCCTCTTTGCTGTCCCAAAATCTGCAATTTTGACACCGTCATCTGCAAGCAGCAAATTGGCGCACTTGAGGTCGCGGTGAGCGATGCCCAACTCGTGCAGATGCTCCACACCGCGTACAACATCACGGATATATACCTGCACCATTTCCTCGTCAAACGGACCGAACTCCTTCAGCAGTCTGTGCAATATCCATATCACTAATGTCAACACTACACTCTTCGACCAGCGTCATATCCGGTGGTCAATCGATGCTCCGTACTTGCTCAGCGAACCCGCCGGAAGATATTCCATGAACATGTTGACCGTCGGTCCGTAGCGTTCTACCAGCAGCAGTAAAAGTCCAGCATAGTACATCAGACTCAACCAGCCAAATGTAGCATTGCACACAAATGGCGGCTTACCGCTGCCGAGGAAGCGCACGATGTTGTGGTGTTCGTGGCGCTGTAGTAAACTCAGCACATCCAGCTCGCGCTCAATCTGCTCCCAGCTTTGGACGCGCTGTAGTGAGAGCGAGCTCACGTCGTTGCCTAGCTCAAGCTCCTCTTGGATGAAGATCTGCTTAACCGCGAGCAACTCCGCACTATCATCCAGATGAATCAGATGAACACTGCTACATTTAAATGCTGGATGTTGCACCTTGGCAATCGCAATGCCGCCGAAACCTGTCCGAAGCGTCCGCTGCCAACGCCGGGTCCCTTCTGCCACACGAGCGTCCTGAGAGCATCGCCACGAACTCGGTTGTTAGCGTTCATTCGTACAAACTGCTCGGCTAGACGTACTCTCCCGGTAGCAGCGCGAGCTGCATCGTCACCTCGCTCTCCATCGATAACTTCTTTAGCACACAAACCTTGTTCTATTTTGCTCCACTCTCGCTGATGCTTGCACTCTTTATATGGGCATCAAGTATGGATACATGAGCAGAAGCTCGGCGGGCTCGTCTTCAGACAGCATTGCAACGTGCAGGTTCGAGACTTCCGTATCCTTTATTTCCAATTCGTTTGTATTAATGCTAATATTGAGTCGCAACATGCGTGTCTTGTGCAGATTGCGTGTCTTGAGAGTCGAACTCAGAACGTTTGGCTTGCTGCCAAAAGTTGTGGAGTCAAGTCGATGGCGGGTTAATCCCAACGCGGTTCTTAAACAACAATTTGTACGGAACCTGGGCTTGGTACGCTAACAAATACATGGTAAAAATATTACATTGATAACTAACGAGGACCCTAACTTTGAAAAACAATTCATCATTGCGCTTCCATGCTGAAGCAGTCAGGTTTGCATCTGCCGATGACATTAATGAAGCTCTTGGATAGTCCTCGTCACTTCACTGAGCGAGTACTTGGAGCGATGGAGTTTGCATTTGTCGTTTTGCACATTACGGACGGATTGAGGTGTACACTTGTATTCCGCGGCTATGAGTTGTCTGTGCGACCGACCTGACGCCCAGTCTCATGTAAGATAACCTTCGCGTTTGCTTAATGCCATTGACGGCGTATTCGGGCAGCATGACAAACTTCATGCAGAAAGTGTTCGACGAAACGCTCCCATAACATTCAAAAATGTACGAGCAACTTGCTTTTGAAGTTGTGAAAGAAAGAAAAGTTTCTTACGTTCGAGTTCTACAGTGTATTTTGGACCAACGCGTTTCATTTTTTTTTTTTATGAAAAAATAGATCCCGTAATGACCACGAATAATTCGTGAAGGTTGATACAAATATCTAGTGATTCTCCGCATTATCGACAGCCCTTATCGGATTGCCTTTTTTTACATGTAAACTTCTAAGCACCAGTAAAAAGACAATCCGGTGTTGATGATACCGGGCCCGTCTCTCTGTGTGGCAAACATCACCTTAACGCAACCTAACGTGGTTGCGCAAGCGTTTGCGCAACCACGTTAGGTTGCTTTAAGCTATATTTCACCCCGTCTCTGTTCTGATCAGCAACACCATTCAGTATCCAGCACCGTAGCGGACTTGCGCAAACGTTTGCGCAGCTATTTATAGCTGCCCTAATAGCCGCCACACACTTATTCTTGAAGCTGAGCCCTCCAAGCGGTCGCTCTCCACCGCCAGCACAAGATCCCCCTCATTCCTCGATTTCCCTCTCGAGTCGCACCAGCCCCTCCCCGCTCCTAGATCATGCGTCTCTTCCAGTCCGCCATGCGCGCCTCGTCACCGCTCCTCAAGACGCGCTCGTTCGCCACCAACGCCTCTGAGCTGCGCTCCGTCGTGTTCAAGGACCACCTGCGCACGGTGCAGATGGCCGACGCCAAGGAGACCGTTCTACCCGGCGGCCGCGACCTGTTCCCGCTGCTACCCAAGGCCTTCGAGGGCATCAAGCAGATCGGTGTGATCGGCTGGGGCTCGCAGGGTCCCGCCCAGGCACAGAACCTGCGCGAGTCGCTCGAGGGCGTCTCGGACATCAAGGTCAAGGTCGGTCTTCGCGAGGGCTCGTCGTCCTTCGCCCAGGCCAAGGCCGCCGGCTTCAGCGAGGACAACGGCACGCTCGGTGAGATGTTCGACGTTATCAAGGAGTCCGACATGGTGGTTCTGCTCATCAGCGACTCCGCCACCGTCAACCTGTACCCCAAGATCTTCCCGCTCATCAAGAAGGGCGCGACGCTCGGTCTGTCGCACGGATTCCTGCTGGGCCACCTCGAGTCGGTGAACGAGACGTTCCCCAAGGACATCAACGTGGTCATGATGGCCCCTAAGGGCATGGGTCCCAGCGTGCGTCGCCTGTATGTGCAGGGCAAGACCGTGAACGGCGCCGGTATCAACTCGAGTGTGGCCATCCACCAGGACGTGACGGGCAACGCGTCCGAGATCGCTCTGGGCTGGAGTGTCGGCGTGGGCGCTCCTTACACGTTCTACACGACCATGTCCGACGAGTACAAGTCGGACATCTTTGGTGAGCGCTGCATCCTTCTGGGTGGCGTGCACGGCCTGGTCGAGTCGCTCTTCCGTCGCTACGTGCAGGACGGCATGACCCCCGAGGACGCCTTCAAGAACACGGCCGAGTGCATCACTGGTCCGCTGAACGAGAAGATCTCGCACGACGGTATCAAGTCGGTGTACGACAGCTTCAAGGGCGAGGACAAGATCATCTTCGAGAAGGCTTACACGGCCGCCTACACGCCGTGCCGTGATATCATCGAGGAGGTGTACGACGACGTGGCCTGCGGTAACGAGATCCGCAGTGTCAACAACGCTGTGGCCCGCCACGACCGCTTCCCGTTCGGCAAGATCGACCAGACGTACACGTGGAAGGTCGGTGAGAAGGTCCGTGCCGCTCGTGACGGCAACTTCATCATGAACCCCTTCACGGCCGGCACGTACGTGGCCATGATGATGGCTCAGATCGACGTGCTTATCAGTCACGGCCACTGCTACTCGGAGGTCGCTAACGAGTCGGTCATTGAGTCGGTGGACTCGCTGAACCCGTACATGCACGCCCGTGGCGTTGCTTACATGGTGGACAACTGCTCCACGACGGCCCGTCTGGGCTCCCGTAAGTGGGCTCCTCGCTTCGACTACATCCTGACGGAGCAGGCTTATGTTGCTGTGGACGACAACAAGATCAAGAACGAGGCTAAGATCATGAGCGACTTCAAGAACCACAAGATCCACGACGTGCTCGCTGTGTGTGCGTCCATGCGCCCCAGCGTCGACATTTCGGTCGATTAAGCGTCTTCAGATGTGTAGTGGATGCCTCGGAAAGGGGCGTTTAGTGCGTGCACGAGAGCAACAAAATCACAACCGTGCCTATATAATACACTTAACTGTGGCTACGTTATGCCTCTTGTGTCTTGTGTTTGGTTGAGTATTCATAAAGTACCGGCGGTCAAAGTACACGATGCTGCGTAGTGGCAAATCAGTGTGTTGTTAAAGCGCACTACGGTTAATGTAGTTCAGTGTCGACGTTGACACCACATTGCATCAAACTAAACAACAAAACTGGTTGAACCAATTTGATCGATCGACAGCAATGGAAAGCCTTGTAGTAACCAGCAGTTTCAATTCATATACGGCTTTGGCTCATCTTTTTTTGTGGTTAATGGGCTTTCCGGCGCACGAGAGCATCGTGCCAAAATACACTGAAACACATAAATCTGCGGCCCGATCACGTTCAGCGCGTTGATAAGAGCCACCCATCGGCAAGTTCACTCACAGCCAAGTGATGTATTGCTGTGTTGCTCACAGTCAATACTTCGCAGTACCTTGTGGCATTGTGAGTGTTTGTCAACTTCAACTTAAAGTTGAAGCTGACATTCATTCACCGATGTTGGTAGTGCCACATCGCAGCACTTACTGCAACCAACAAAACAAAGCGGACCGCGGACGTGCTAGCTATAGTATGCTGCTTTATCGATCAACTATTCGTACATACCGAGAGAAGAAATGCGTGATAAACACCTTTATATTTTAAACAGGTCTGACAGGTCTGACTGATCTTCACAATCGTGGTTATAATGCACATTGAGGATTTTTGAAATCAATTCTCACCACGGAATCTCGATAGTACCGAACGGGTACTCGCCCGTGCTGAGCGTAAAGTTCGAGCAGAGCGAGCTGCGGCTCGCGGTCTCATTGTATACGTCACAGCCCGTCTCGGGCTTGATGGCGACCCAAAACTCGCTGTCCTCGGCGATCATCTTGAGGCCGTGGCCAATCTGCGGGTAGTAGACGCTCCAATCGTCAGCAGTCAGTGTGAACTGCACGGTCTGCGTCTCGCCAACCTTGAGGCTGATCTTGGAGAATTTCTTGAGCTGCTTCATCTCAGGCACGTTCAGCGAGCGATACGGCTGGATCAGGACATCACAACATCACCGTTTCCTTGCCGGTCATCGAACCGCTGTTCGTCACGTCCACCGAAACAGTGATCGAGTCGTTAGGATCCTGGATCGTGTTCTTGCTCAAAGTCACCGCCGAGTATGTGAAGTCTGTGTAGCTCAAGCCTGTGCCGAAATCCCATTCGTTCTCGCAGTAGTACGGCGTCTCGGTCGAGTTCTCGCACATGGTCGTCACGGGGTGGTTGTACACCATCTCAATGTTAGCGGGGTCCTTCAGTACGTGATCGGCAAGCGGCCACTGGGGTTCACTTTACCATCCATACAAGATTTCAGCAACAGCCCGGCCGCCCATTTCACAGGCGAGGAGGCCGCGCTGTCGGTCAGGTCACCAAGCAGACGCGGACGACCCTCGAACAGTACCGCAATAACCTTGGTTCCGGTGGAAGCAAGCTGCTTCACGTACTCGATCTGACCGGCAGGCAGGGCCAGATCGTCAATGTCACCGGGCTTCTCGGCGTACGGACCCTCACCAATAACAGCGACGGTAAATTCAGCCTTGCTGGCATCGGTTGCAAGGTCAGCTTCCGAGTATTCACCAGTGTAGTTCAATCCGTTGAAGTACGAGACGCTACTGCTGTTGCCAGTGATCGACTCAATATTCTCCTTGACAGTGGAGCCCAGCGGGTACAGCTCGTTATGTCCAGCATAGCCCTGCCACTCGATGGTCCAGCCACCACACTGTAGGCCTATATCATCGGCAGCGTGGCCAGTGAGGAACACTGAAGCGTCCTCAGCAAGAGGCAGTACGCTGTCGTTGTTCTTAAGCAGCACAATGGATTCACGAGCAAGCTCAGCGCCGTAGCCGTGTCATTCTCACTGCCGATCAGGTCCACGTTGGCCTCACCCGGAACCGGGTTATCCTACAACCCCAGCTGCAGTTTCAGCTTGACAACAGGGCGAGCCGACGCCTTCACGCGTGCCAGATACTGCGGGCTCTGCTCCAGAAGGGCCTTCGTGCCGTTCATGAAGCTGTCGTCTGTGGCAATCATACTCATATCCACCGATGCGCGCGTGAGCGAAATACGGGTGGCTTCATCGTATGTACGAGCGACGCGGTGGAAATCCGCGAGCTGGTCGATCTCCGCGTAGTCCGTCACCATCATGCCGTCCCAACCCAGGTCGTCACGCAACAGTGCGTTCATCAGCTTCTTGTTGGACACAAGGGGAACGCCGTTCACGGAGATATAGTTCTCCATGGCGCTGAGTACACCAGCGTCTATAGCCGACTTGAATGGAGGTAAGAAATAGTTGAGCAGATCGTAGTCCGACACGGTGACAGCGTCCTTATCGTGTTTTAGTGTACACTATCCAGTGCTTCATACAGGCGGCAGTGCTGCCATTACTCTGCAGACCGCGCACAATGGCATCGGCCATTACTGAGTCAAGGTACGGGTCCTCACCGAACGTCTCGAATGTACGTGGCCACAACGGGTTACGTGAAATGCCGAGGATCGGCCCAAAGATCCACGGAATCCCGGCTGCGAGCGTATCGCGCGCAGTGATACGACCTTGCTCGTAGACCAGGTCGGGGCGGAATGAGGCGGCAGCATTAATCTGCTGTCCGAAGAGTGTAGCACCACGGACGAAGATGGCGCCGTGAACCGAGTCGACACCGTAGATCATCGGGTGCCCGCCATTCTCCTCCATCGTGATCTCCTGGATCCTCGTCACCACCTCGCGCCATTTCTCGGCAGTCCACAGATACGTTCCGTTCTTGGGCCCGTTCGTCAATGGACTGTTGAGGTACGAGCCAACGCGCATCTTGGCGTACTTGCGCACAATCTCTTCGTCCAGCTCGAGGTCGTCGGTCATCAGTACAGAGATGTCGATCTGCGCCATCTGGCCAATAAGGTCTTCGGTGCTGAAGGAGTCGACGATCTCGTCGGCGCGGTCATCCCATTGATCGGCAGCGACGTTTTGGTGTGTCATAGACCCAGAGGCGCGATGTATGCAACGGTGAACCAGGACTTGAGCATCTCGGTGTAAGACTTGAAATTTGATGAGCTGCAAGCAAATTCGGAAATGAGCTTTCCCGAGGTGGTTGGAATGGCGAAGAAATGCAGCTAGCGCTTCGGTATCCGCTGCGCATCTACCAAGCGGCCAAAGATTGTGTAGAACGTGTATGCGCTCATCGTTGGAGGGAATAAACTTCATGGTTTTCAAAGACGTAAGCGCCAGCTGTGACCGCTCACAGTGTGTGAACTCGATCCTCGAGGCATCTTCAACCTTTAAGCTGCGGAGCGGTTAGTCCTGAATCAAGTCTAAATGTGGCTGGTCTCAGCGTACCAACACCGAAATGCAGAACTGAAGTTCCCTCGACCAATCAGCGCGCTATCTTTTTCTAACTTCAACCATAGCAGTTATCAGTTATCAGTTATCATTTCAGTTTGCTTCGACGGCCACCATCACCACTGTGGTGACCACACGCATCTTGCTGCAACAACGCTAATTCTAGTACTGACCAACGTTGTTGACCCTCAGTTGGATTCAAATGATAACAGTTTTAGAATTATCAAATCAGAATGATCTTGGTATCGTTACGCACTCCTACAGCAAAAAAATGCTCTCACTCCACCTTACCTAAAAGGTGAGTCTTCGTATTTCCTCATCTACCTCCCAGCAAATAAACCAAAGCGGCGCTTTTTTTTCTCCTTACTCCGCAATCAGCGAGCCAAACTGATACTCACCAGTAGACAACGTGAACGTCGCGCACAAAGGGTTCGCAGCAGCAGTCTCGTTGTACACGTCGCAGTCCGTTTCAGGCTTGATCGCAACCACATAGTCCGTATCCTCTGCAACGAGTTTCAGGCCTTTGCCGATCTGGGGGTAGTACACGCTCCAGTCCGCCGCAGTCAGCTCGAACGTCACCGTCTGCGAAGCACCCGCGTCCAGACTGATCTTCGAGAATTTCTTGAGCTGCTTCACCTCCGGCACCGAAATGGATCGGTACGGCTGTGTGAGGAACAGCATCACCGTCTCCTTACCGGCCACACTACCAGAGTTGGTCACCGTCACGGACACGTTGATGGAGTCGGAGCTGGAGGTGACGTTGGTGGTACTGATGCTCATGTCCGAGTAGGTGAAGTTCGTGTAGCTGAGACCATGGCCAAAAGTCCACTGCGGCTCGCAGTAGTCACCAGTAGCACACTGGGTGCTGACACGGTGGCGGTACGGGATCATGACGTTGCCGGTATCCTTCGGGTACGTGATCGGCATGCGCCCACTTGGGTTTACATCACCGTAGATAATTTCCGCTACGGCCTGACCACCAAGCTCACAAGCGAGCATGCCGTTGACGACGGCGTGAACATTTGCAGGGAGGTCGCTCAGCAGACGCGGGCGGCCCTCAAAGAGCACAACAATGACCTTCGTTCCGGTAGCAGCAAGTTCTTTGACGTACTCGATCTGACCGAGTGGAAGAGCAAGATCATCGATGTCACCCGTTTTCTCCTGGTAGTTGGGTTCACCAATCACAGCAACCGTGTACTCAGCCTTGGATGCGTACTCCTTGGCAGTCGCTAGACCCTCTTCGGTGTAGTCTCCCGTGACATTCAATCCGTTAAAGTAGACGAACGAGTCATTACCAGCGACCATCTCGAAACCCTGTTTCACAGAGGAACCGTGCTGGAATTGCTCGTTACCGTCAACGCCCTTCACCTGCACCGACAGCCCACCGCACTGGAAGCCGATATTGTGAGCACTGTGGCCAGTGAGGAAGACTGACGCGTTCTTCGAAAGAGGCAGCACACTGTCATTGTTTTGTAGTAGAACGATGGACTCACGAGCGAGATCCAACGCAGTAGCAACATCGTCTTCGTTACCGACCAGCTCAAGCAATTCCTCACCGGGCATCGGGTTGTCGTACAGACCAAGCTTCACCTTGAGCTTGACAATACGACGCACAGATTCCTTCAGACGGGCGAGGATTGCAGGGTCCTCCGCAATCAACTTGTTCGTTCCGTTGGTGAAAGATAGGTCTGTAGCCACCATGCTCATATCGATTGACGCGCGCTCCAGAGCGAACTTGGTAGCCTCGTCAGTGGAACGAGCTGTGCGGTGGAACTCGGTAAGGTGATTGATCTCAGCGAAGTCCGTCACCATCATACCGTCGAAGCCGACATCGTCTCTCAACAGCTTCGTCATAAGCTTCGTGTTCTCAACCACAGGCACTCCATTGACGGAGATGTAGTTCTCCATACCCGAGAGCAGACCCGCGTCGATACCAGCCTTAAACGGTAGAAAGTAGGAGTTCATCAGGTCGAAGTCCGAGATCGTGACGCCGTCCTTGTCGTGGCCTGTGGGGTTCCACGAGTAGCCGATCCAGTGCTTCATGCACGCAGCAGTCTGGTTGTTACTCTGCATACCGCGGATAATAGCGGATCCCATGACCGAGGCCAGGTGAGGGTCTTCGCCGAACGTCTCGTACACACGAGGCCACAGCGGGTTGTGCATGAGATCGAGCACCGGACCGAAGACCCAAGGAACTCCGGCTGCAAGCGTATCGCGAGCATTGATTCGACCTTCTTCGTACACAAGGTCGGCGTTGAACGAGGCAGCAGCGTTGATCGGATGGCTGAAAAACACCGTGTCCAGCAGCAAGGCGTTGCCGTGGACAGAATCCGTGCCGTAGATGATGGGGTGACCACCGTTGTCCTCCATGGAGATCTCCTGGACGCGTCTCACGAAGGCACGCATCTCGGCCGTGGTCCAGCCCCACTTTCCGTTGACCTCGCCGGAATCCGACACGGGTAAGCCTAAGTACGAGCCGACACGGTGCTTGGTAAAGCCACGTAAAGTGTCTTCGTCCAGTTGGTACGTCGAGTTCAGCAAGCCGTAGGAAGCGATCTGTGTCATCTGACCCACGAGATCTTCAGTGGTGAGGCTGGCCATGATCTCATCGACCTTAGCGTCCCATTCATCGGCATCAGCGAGACCGCCGTTGAAGACAGCAAGACTCAGCGCCGTGTAGCACACGGCAGATAGCCAAGACTTGAGCATCTTGGAAAGTTAGTTGGTTGCTTGATCTTGAGTGGAAGAGGGCAAATTGAAAAGTGAGCTCGACTACAAAGAAGCTTGCATTAGTCAGAACTCTAATGGATGAGATAAGCTTGACTCACCACATTCTGTAAGTTTCACTCACAGGCTACATAGGTATTACACTTGTCAAGGCAACACAACTTCAAGATATCGTCATGATCCCTTCGTACGTAATAGGGATTCGTCATTTATAGTACTGATGTAAACAACTAGCAAATCCGAAGGTGGTGTGCCCCAAGCTTCGAGTACGCCAATGCAAGTTGTAGTATACATCAGCAACTCGGTCTTCAGTTGGATTAGATTGTGGAACACAACGCCTGTACAAGACATAGCGGCGGTTTTTTGTAGAAAACCAATCTGCCATCTACTCGAAGCTGTTATCAACATCACGCTAAGGTTTGGAATGGTATCTACTTATTATTATCTGTAGTCTGTAGCTCCCTAAGGGTTCAGACAGGTTAGTTAGCTCAAGTCAGCCATAGCTTGCAAACAACCTAGACTTTAATCAAGGCCCTTGAGCGCGTTCGTTTCGAATCGTGTCGGGGGATTCCTGAAAATTAAGCACGAAGCATCAGCACGTGTTGAGGGGCATCGATGAGCGCCCCGAGGAATACTTTGAAGTGTCCCGCTCTGGTACATCACCCTATAGTTGTAAAGCCTATGATAGTACGTACGTGTAGATAGTCCTGAAAGGTGCCTTTGATCGGGGTGCAGTTTGTATATCTTCTATGTAGAATTGAAGTTTTAATCAAATCGGGTATGAGTTGAGGGCCGTCTCGTACTTGATTCCACACATATCTTCAAGTGTGCACGTACCCGTCACTTCAACCGTCTTGCATGGCTTCAGCTCACGAATGTCCTAGGGCTGTCCTCAATAACAAAAAATCGTGATTTCTCAAGATCCTTGATGTCGGTATTTCAAACTAACTGTAATTGGGTATCGAACTTTTCGCTCGGATCGTCTAATCCATTATTTGGAGCATTTTTTTTTATCATCCATTGTTTTGAAGTAACACGAGGCATGTTGTTCAAACAATGGAGATAAAGTTTACAATCGTGACAAATTCTGCTGGATCGAATTGTGCTAAAAATAATCCTGAGCTCCCGTTTCTTAGACAAATAATCCCATGGACTTAGTAACTATTTTGCATGTACTTAGTAAGAGCATCGTAGCGAACACAAGGTTGTCTAAATAACCTGAACAAAGCTTTTGATCCATACATCCAACAAAGCTTCTATTTAAAATTGTAGACGTTTATTTTGCTTTTTTAAGCTACAGTTTCTACATTTTGGAAAAGTTTTACGAATGTAGAGAGCTTAGCATTTTTTTGTTTTCATTTCTAAAACATAAATAAGAAAAGAAAAGCAAGAAATGTATTTCTTTGGAGCCGATCTGGACGTTGCGAGGCGAAAACCTCTGGTTTTGTAATTTCATACTCGATTCCTTTTCTTGATAATTTTCATTTTGTATCCAAAATTTAAGTGTGAGATAAAAAAAAACTCAACGAAGCACCATTATTTTTACTAAGTATACTGCAATTTTCACTACAGTATTGATAATTTGACGCCATCCTGAAGTGCCTATTTATATGTATATAAATGCATCGCACGGCAACAAACCAATTCTCATGCAGAAAACGATAATATATGTTTAATACGCAGTAGCACGAAGTAGCAATAGCTAATTCGATCCTGCTACTACTATTACATCCTCGTTGCTACTGGCAGCGTTAGAAATTACTCGGCTACAAGCGATCCGAACAGGTACTCACCAGTAGACAACGTGAACGTCGCGCACAAAGGGTTCGCAGCAGCAGTCTCGTTGTACACGTCGCAGTCCGT